AAGGTGAGAACTGAAGACGAAGGAAGTTGGACTTGATTGTGGATTCGAACCGATGGGGGAAAGCCGCGATTGGAGCTGGCAGGCGGTGAGGCTCTTCCGGGGGAGAGACCCGCGATCAGCTGTCAAGTTCGTGGAGTTGGATACTGACGAATCTACATCAATTTCGACCCATTATTACGATCTACTACTATCTATGCAACACTAAAAAGCAGGGCGATATTCCCAGTGGTCACAAGAAAAGCAATTATGGCAATGACCGTGGACTACCCGCCAGTTGATGCTCGCCCGCTATCGGATCCTAGTAATCGCGGCATCGGCCACTACTGCCAATCACCACCACTGCAGTATCGATTACGAAAACTTGCTGGAGAGCTTAGCAAGGGTGGGATATCATTTAAGGTAAAGCCATATCAGAATATGAACCCTCACCTACCCAACAAAATCTATATAAAATGGCGGTATGGGCACAGCGTAGCATAGCATCTCTGCCATCGCAGATACATGTCGATGACGTGGGGAAACACGTGCTTCCATCCGCATCTGGCGGCTTCTACTGGCCAGCCCGCAAGTCCGCATTATAGCATCACCATCAACAAGTAGTGTATTAAAAGCACCATCAATAATTGATCTCTATTTACATAGGTATAACCCGTCATTAGCTAGCTAACGTTGCAATGAAGATCTGTGGCAAGAGCAGGACTCAAAAGCAGGAACAGAAAACGTCGTATCAGAATGCTCATCATGGAGTCAATACCAGTACACAAAAAACAACCATAGCCCGTGGGCTGCGTAATAAAACAAGATCAAGTGTGTCAGCAAAGATGGTTGCCAGCACCTTTATGAAACTATCACCGCTTCTCAACCAGCAGAATATGCATCGCGCCATATGCGATTACGATAAATGCACCCGAGATGACGGCCAGTCCGATGACATCAGTCCACAGAGCTTGGGTATCAAATCCAAAAGCGCTCAGAATGGACGCGCCGGGAACTTCAATGTCCAGGCCGTATTTGTGATCAATCAGGGTCAGATACGTTACTTCATTGACGATCAGAGCCTCGAAGCCGTAGTGGAATATGGAAAGCTATAAGATAGTCAGCAACTGGTACTTACAAGACCCATGAATGAAGTGAAAACAGATTCGTTGGTACTCACAGTTTGCAGCCACAAGGCAGACTTGGGAATGGCATCGTGGTTGAGCAGGAGACCAGCGAAGAGCAGACTGAACAGCATCACCAGGCTCCCAATCAAATTGGCCACGCCTCCATCCCGGAAGATGATACCGATGAACAAGCAAATATTGGCGGCCGCTAGGTTGAAGAGAACAAGTACCAAGACGAAACGGAAGAATTCGCCCCAAGCCGGAATCAAGCCAGTCATGGGATACACGATGATACCCATGATGATAGGGGGGAGGAGCCGGAGGGGCACGATGTCAAACACCACCTTGGCCGCAAAATAGGTAATCGGGTGGTAGTAGCCATTCGCTCTCTCGCGTACAAACAACAGTCGCTCCCCGGAAAACACCGTTAGACTGGTAAGCGTGCTGAACCCGAACAATGCGAGGATGAAGAAAAACAGACCCAACCGGTTCTGGAAGCCCTTGATGTCGTCGGTCAAGCCGTAGAAGAGGTAACCGCACAGAACAGCGAGGAGGATAGAAATGGCATAATGCGTGAGCATCAACATAGGATTCCGATACAGGTTACGCCAGGTCCGTTGTGACAGGATAAGGAACTGTCGCAAGAGGCCAATGCGAGCGTATGTCTTGCCGGTTCCAGTAGGAGCAGACATCAGCTCGGGGTTGGTATACCCGTTCGCTGTGCGTGCATGCTGTATGGCCGCCATGATTTCATCATGGACGGAGCGTGCGATGTCCGATGCTGCATAGTTTGCAACCAAGATGTCGAGGTCTGTCTGTCCCGGGGCCGCTGGGGGTAGCTGATCTGGGTCATCCATGATTTGGGATGCAGTGGTGCCTGTTTGACGAGAAAGACGCAGCCATTGCTGATTGTCCTCGGCGGCATCATCCAATAGCTCGTCTTCTTCATCGGTTTTCGGGGTAGGGGGAGCTTCTGGGTCCTTCTTGCGCGAGTAGAGCTGTCTGTCCTGTTTCTGTTTAAGGGAGACGCGCCGTTTACTCTTCGGTCGCCGGTTCGCATCAAAAGTACTGCTGCTATCCTCAAAGCTAGCATTGGATGCACTAGCCACAGATTTGACGGCTCTCAGGCTGCTCGACGCCGTCTTAGGGGGGTCTACCCGAACATCCAGTAAGGGAGACTCGACCGCGTCGCTGTGAGAGCGGGTCACACTAGCGTGCATCGTGAGGTCGACAAGATAGTCCGCAATGTTGAAGCCTGGTGGGCAAGAGTAACCTGAATGATCGAAGTATCTTTGGCACGTGGAGAATGGTCCAGAATAGACGGTTTTTCCTTTAGCTAGGAGAATCAATCGGTCAAACAAAGCAACAATGTTGGAGCGCGGTTGGTGAATAGTGAAGATGACAGTGCGATTATACGTTTTGGCCAATGTCACCAAGCACTCAATCACATTGAATGCATTATATGCGTCCTATGCAGCTTGTTAGAAAAGTACAGTGTTAATGGGGCTGACGCATCTTACCAATCCACTTGTAGGTTCATCCAAGAAGAGAATACTGGGGCTGGTAACCAACTCGCATGCGATGCCAACTCGGCGCTTCTCACCACCCGAGATGCCCCGACCTCTGCCTTCCTCAGATCCGATCAATTGGTCCTTTATATGGGATATCCCAAGTTGCCTTTCAACTTCAAACACTCGCTGTTCCTTCGCAGCCCTGCTCATGTCTCGCGGCAACCGGAGCAACGCACTTGTCAAGATAGTCTCGTGCACAGTCAAGGTGGGAAGCATAGTATCTTCCTGATCGACAAAACCAATCATACTCTTAAAGTCATGGTCACTGATCTTCTCCCCATTAACATAGAAATCGCCACGGACAGTACCCCGCTTGTTCTTCCGAGCAAGGATGTCAAGGAAGGTCGTCTTTCCTGCACCCGAGGCGCCCATGATAGCGGTAATCTGACCAGGCTGAGAAGAACCTTGAATACCACTGAGAATCTCCTTTCCATTCAAAAAGTACGAGACACCGTCCCAATACAAGGCCGCTGGCTTGTGTTCTGCCAGGAGCTTGGCCGCTTCGTCGTCCTCGTCATCCGAAAGAGGCAACTGGATGCGACCGAAATACGACCTGCGTGAAAGATACCACACAGACAGAATGACAGCAACGACGAAGAGGGCACATCCCGCGATGACGCCTGCGATAAGAGGGGTATTGATCTGTTTGACCGGGCGTGTGTAGCCAGGAACATCAGTCCGATACAGACACTCACCGGCATTGCAATTCAAAGTGATACTCTTGTCGCCGAAAACAGCTTTGATCAACTCGTCCATAGCTGGCTCCTGGAATGTGCTACCATCTTCCGGGCTGCCACCCTCAGTGGAGACCGAGGTGAACGTGGCAGGTCCCACGATTGACTCCCTGAGAAAGTCACCGATATCGATGGATCCTTCCTCGCCACAAAGCATGCGCCCTGGAATACACTCGCAGTTGATGCTTTCGCACGTGTAGTGGGTTCTGTTTTGACTATGGGTAGTCTCCAAACCCCACTGACACTTATCCAAACCACAATAGAACGACTCTACTCGCCCCACCCAGAATTGAAAGTTGCAAGTATGGTCTTCGGCCTCGCAAGAAAACGTCACCTGAGGCTTGCGCTCCTTCAGCTGATCAAGGATCTTGCGATTGGTCACATCACACATCTGAAAGTTCTCTTTGACAGTAACACCCTGTTTGTAGCAAACACCCCCTTCACCTTCTGGCATCATCGCATTACATGCATCGTCCGTTTGGCACACGTTACAGTTGATTCCTTCCCAGCCATCTTCGCACGCGCACTGGTCGCCCTGTCGAGGGGACCTCTGGTGGCCGTCGGCCAGCGACCCACACAGAGGCTGCGCGCAATCATCGCCACCAAAACCCGGTGGGCAGACACATTTCCCGGTGAACTTATCGCAGTCGGCAAACTGGGCGCACTGGAACGCGTCTAGTTGGCAGTTGAAGCACGGCGGGCAACCGTCTGGACGATCGTCGAGTGCGGAGAAGAGCGGAGATATGAGGGAGGCCTCGGAGTAATTGCTCCGTGCTGCGACCGTAGAGGCCGATAGTGAGAGGGTGAGAACGAGAGATAGCTGGAGTGACGATGGCAGCCGCATGCTGGCTCAAAAGTGCGAGAGCTGCCCTCACACTCGATTCAGTTGAAGGTACCTGGCAAGCTGGTGGGCGTCGGACCGAGAGACCAGGTGCGGAGTAAGCAGCGACGACGATGAACGCCAGAGAATCACAATAAAGGATAGGACATCTGGTTACAAGCTAAAGGACTGTAAGGCTTCCCTGGCAGATTCAGGAAAACACAATACCACCAGCGTGATTGCACCGACAGAAACCACAATCAAAGAGCCACGAAAGGAGCGGTAAAGATGGGTGGGAAGAGGAGAGGCTGGATGGGAAACCGGTTGAGGCGATGACGAGGGCGGAGAAGCGCCAACCCGTGGCCTGACAGCCTGGGGCACCCAACCAATGATGGCCCGGCGCGATGTGGTATTATCGGGTACCTACCGCGACCTACGTTGCTTCAAAGGAACTACGGCATATATTGACATACTGTGGATCATCTTGTCACCTACAGGGCGCGGTGGATATCATTAAGATGGCCTCAAATATTCCAATGATCATTGTATACAGCAAAGATCGTAAATTAACCGGCCATTCGCTGGATCTGTCTGGCTTCATCCACTTCTCCTCCGGTTCACCCAATTGGGAAACCCCATATTCAACTTTCACGTGACTCGGTACCTGAATTTCACCAGATATAAAAGCATTTTGACTCATTGAGCCATCGTTGAGAAGTGACAGCGTTGTTGTTAGAAGTGACCGAGTTTCTGTACTATAAAAGTCTTCGCAATGGTTCACATCAAAGAGTTCGCCGTGGAACAAGTATGACGACCCCTCTCCCAACCGGACAACCCCGCATATTTGGACCATATCAAGCTAACCGTGTTACAAGTGGATGGACAAATATGAAACCACAGCCAAATACAATGTGGCAGAGACATGCTGTGCGTCAATCTCATTTAATGATCTCCGGGAGCTGTCGGAGGACAAGTCCGACCCGTTGGACTTGAGCATTAAGCTCACTTACGGAGCTATTCGTGGGTCGGAACGACTCCGGGGAAACCTGGCAAGGCTGTACTCAGATCAAACACCTTTGCCATTGGACAATGTCTTGATCACTGCTGGCGCCATTCAAGCCAATTTTCTCCTGCTTTATACTCTGGTTGGGCCCGGCGACCATGTTATCTGCCATTACCCCACATACCAGCAGCTCTACTCAGTCCCCGAGTCGCTCGGGGCCGAAGTGAGTCTGTGGAAGGCGAAAGAGGCAGACAACTGGAGGCTGGATCTCAATGAATTGAAGAGACTTATCCGTCCAAATACCAAACTAATTATCCTCAAGTTAGTAAACCCCTCAAATCCCACTGACCAGCTTCTCTGATCAAGATCTTTTCGCCTTACAGTAACCCCCAAAATCCGACCGGAGCGGTGATACCCCAGGAGACATTGAAGGATATTGTTGAAATAGCTCGAAGCTCATCCATCATTGTCCATGCTGATGAGGTTTACCGACCGCTATACCATTCTGTCGGGGAAGACCAAGCCCCATCATCGCTCCTGTCTCTAGGGTACGAGCATACGGTAGTGACCGGCTCCATGTCTAAGGCGTATAGTTTGGCAGGACTCCGTGTTGGATGGATTGCATCTCGCAACCGCTCAATCATTGAGACCTGCGCCAGCGCCAGGGACTACACAACCATTTCCGTCGGCCAGCTGGACGATGCTATTGCGAGTTTCGCCTTAGCCCCGGCGTGTGAGCCTAATCTCATTAAGCGGAACCTTAACTTGGCCCGCCGGAACCTGGCGATTTTGGCGAAATTCATCGAGTCTCATCGGTGGGCATGTGACTGGGTTAAGCCGCAAGCAGGTACAACGGCATTCGTGCGTTTTCACAATCAAGGCATTCCAGTGGATGACGTAGCCTTCTGTGAACAACTCCTTCAGAAGACCGGAGTAATGTTTGTCCCTGGACACTTATGTTTTGGGGAAGGAGATGATTATGAGGGATATGTTCGGATAGGGTATGTGTGTGAGACGGAAGTGCTGGAACAAGCTATGGAAGCGTTGCGATCGTTCATGGAAGGGGAATATAGGAATGTGCCGGTGAGGAATCGGACTTCGAGATCTGCCGAGTAAGTTAGATAATGAATCCAATAGTCAGCCAAGCCTGCATATACATGCAGCAACGAAAGGGAGAAAGTGAAATCAATATCACAGTTACTTAATCAACACAGCCGAGATATCTACTTACACTAACCATGCTTTTAAAATAGCGATGGATGGAATCAGCCCCAACGGAGGCTTATTTTCGGTGATTCCCACACTTCCCACGGACCCATTGGCCGGTTCACCAACCAGCCAACTTGGCGAGTCTCCACCCGATCATCTGCTTTCTTGTCGGGCCATTGAAATGATCGAATACAATAGTTCCAGGCCAGTGGAGACCGTCGCCAGCTTCATTTGATGCATAACCCGTCATAGCGCTCGTTCCGTGCAAGCCGAGGTAACTCTGTCCACCCGCTCCTCCCCACGCCAGGCCATACTTAAAAGGTGAAATGAATGACAAGGATCTTGTCAGCTCGGCCTCATGGCTGTTAACCAAAGGCTCCATCGATGCCGACACGCGCTCCAACAGTTTCTTTGTTCCTCTGCTAGTATTTAATATCCCGCGCGCTTCCTCATCTCCGGCTCGTCTGCTCGTCTCCTAACTCACCTTCCCTTTCCCTTTCCCTTTCCGGTGACGACCAGCGGGCAGACCATATCAGTTTGCCGCTTCTTCCCAACCATACCAACGTAATCAGTCAATTTGACCTCAAAAATGTCTGCGATCCCTGGTCCGTGAGCTCCCTACCATAATTCTATATGAGGCATACTTAGAATTCTGGTACTGACTAGATGTTCTACCAGATCTCCCCATCCCTCTCCCGATCGCCGGTTCGGCGCTGGTAGCCACGCTGGCATACCTAAATGCCAAATTCTCCCTATTCCAAGACAAACATTCAATTTCGTCTATGGTCAGCATAGCTAGTAACTCCAAGTCCGCTGAGCGAACCGATCGCGTCAGTTACTTCTATGTTCTGGAGCAGCACGCCCGGGATCCCAAAACCAAGGATCGGCCGTTTATCGTCTACAATGGACAAAGCTGGACATATCACGAAACGTACGTGCTGGCGCTGCGCTATGGCACCTGGTTCAAGCAGGTTCACGGAGTCAAGCCCCGGGAAGTCGTTGCCATGGATTTCATGAACTCCTCGACGTTCGTGTTTATTTGGATGGGTCTTTGGAGTATTGGCGCTGCGCCCGCCTTTATCAATTACAATCTGACAGGGCAGCCCTTGACACATTCGGTTCGGGCCTCAAGCGCACGACTGCTACTCGTTGAGGAGGAGCTTCGCCAGAAGTTTACGTCCGAGCAATTAGAGCTGTTTGCTTCTCCTGACTTTCGAGACGGAGGAGATCCAGTCAATGTGGTCTTCTTCACCCCGGAAGTCGAAACTCAGATCCTCGGAATGGAGCCCACGCGAGAGGATGACACAGCTCGGAGCGGCATTCAGCTGCGCGACATGGCCACGCTGATCTACACAAGTGGGACTACCGGTCTGCCCAAGCCCGCGATCCTCCCTTGGAGGAAAGTCTGGGCTGGCGCTGTAATGATCAAAACCTGGCTGAAGATGACCAAGGATGATCGGGTGTTCACGGTACGCTTCTTTGCTTCTTCTGTACTGTCTCTCGATAACACTGATCATTATCATAGTGTATGCCACTCTATCACTCATCCGCAGCCATCCTCGGTCTCATGCCGTGTTTATGGACAGGAGCGGCTTTGATCATCGGTCGCAAATTCTCTGCTCGGAGCTTCATGCGAGAAGCCGGGGAGAATGATGCAACTATCGTGCAATACGTGGGCGAAACCATGAGATACCTCTTAGCAGTGCCGCCCGCCATTGATCCCGTTACAGGGGAAAATCTAGACAAGAAGCATAAGATTCGCCTGGCTCTGGGCAACGGCCTGCGGCCCGACATCTGGAACCGGGTGAAGGAACGGTTCAATGTCCCTACGATTGCCGAGTTCTATGCTTCTACCGAAGGCCCAGGCGGCTTGTTCAATATCTCGTCGAACGACTTTACCGCAGGTGCAATTGGCCGTAGCGGGTTTATCACCAGTAAGATCATCGGTCGTAGTGTCGCTATTGTTGAGATTGATCAAGAAACCCAACAACCCTGGCGCGACCCCAAGTCAGGTTTCTGCAAAAAGGTCCCGCGGGGCGATCCGGGTGAGCTGCTATATGCACTCAACCCGCAGGATCCTGGAGAGTCCTTTGTCGGTTATTACAAGAACAACAAAGCCACGGACGGCAAGATACTCCGCGACGTGTTTCGCAAAGGTGACGCCTACTACCGATCCGGAGATTTGATCCGATGGGACAAAGACGGTCGGTGGTACTTCTCCGATCGTCTCGGTGACACCTTCCGTTGGAAGAGTGAAAATGTCTCTACCAGCGAAGTAGCGGAGGTGCTGGGCGTGCATCCGGAAGTGCACGAAGCCAATGTCTATGGAGTGGCATTGCCGAACCATGATGGCCGTGCTGGCTGCGCCGCCCTCGTTCTTCAGCAACAGGCACGCTCCGAGGATCAGACAGTGGTCATCCCTCCATGTGAAGAGAGTCTAAACAGCCTGGCGGCGCATGTGCTGAAGAATTTTCCGCGTTTTGCTGCTCCCCTGTTTCTCCGAGTCATGGCTGAGATGCAGGCTACCGGAAATAACAAGCAGCAGAAGCATACTTTCCGGACACAAGGAGTGGATCCAGCACTGGTCCCTGCGAGTGATCGCATGTACTGGCTCCAGGGGAACCAGTATGTGCCGTTTGAGTCGAAGGATTGGGACCGACTACAAGCTGGGCAAGCCAAGCTGTGAGCTAGCCCCAGTAGTTCCTGGGTCTGAATAAAAAAAAATCTCGATATATATAGCGCTGTATATACTTAGTATACGAGTGTCTTTCAGATGAATTATTTGTGCTGTTATCTTGAATACTACATTACTTAGTTGTCGTGGTACATGTTCATGTGCAGAACGGGGAACTACTTAATTATATATTTCTGCGCATACTACTCAGTACTACTACTACTACTACTACTACGTACATAACCGCCATCCGCATCTCTCCTAGTACGCAGGACTTGCTAATTTATTCAAAGAAATGTATAAGCAGGCTATCACAAAGTCCTCGTTCGCTCAAAATCTCCCCTCCCACTCCAATTTCGACCAAAAAATTCGCGTCGAATCACCACGACTATAAACAATACTATCCCAGATACTAGGCTTCTCGTATCACAGGGCATCGCTACAGTCTACGAAAAACCATAGTCTGCTATGTGGTAGCTCTTTCCACAGGGCAACCCATGCCGCAGGGCAGCTCATATCTTCAGTCAATCGATCCCATGGATGATCCAATTGGCGCTAGTTGATACCCCTACAGTGTCTCGATCCGAGGTCGGGACATAGATGAAACAGGCAAATTTAATCATTCTGAGCCATTGAGGATTGAGACAATATATGAAATGCAATACCGGAAAGTCCTACAGTGGAAGTCGTCGTGTCGTCTTGTCGGCGTGTCGTCGTAGTTGGCCAATTTCAATTGCCACTTTCTTCTACCTGATCCTTGAATGATTTCAAAAGCTTCGCGGCCGTAATATGTCCATTTTTCTCAGCCAATTCTACGGCCCGCCGATATTGCCGCTCACCATCATTGCCTACCAGCGATGCTCCTTCGTCAAGAAGTAGCCGAAGCATGTCAATTCGACCGTGCTCTGCCGCTCCCTCCAAGGCTGTTCTGCCATTGCGTCTTGCAGGAGCAGCATTAACGTCCGCGTCTAGGTCAGGAGCTTGCAAGCAATTCCCAGGAGCTTGCAAGCAATTCCCAGGTAGCCTTGAATGGCAGCAATCCGCAATGCGGTTGCTCCACCATCCTCTGATGGTGCACTGTTGACATCGGCTCCGTGGTCAAGAAGGAAGTTGATCAGGTCCATGTTTCCGTTGTTCACCGCATGTTGTAGCGCCGTGCGTCGACCCGCGCCCTCCCCTAGGTAGTCAATATTAGTTTGCTGGCTTTTGACTAACCATTGGACTCTGGACATTAGCTGGTCCTTAACCGCAGCCTGTAGAGGAGTGAGAATCTCACACCATCCTGGTATTTACTCATCATATTCATTCACCGTGTCGGGGTAGTAAATTTTGATCTCTTGATTCATGTCCACCACCTGCTTCAGGATGTCGTCAATTAGCCCAGTGTGATGAAAGATAACTGCGGTTGTCATTGCACAGCCAGTAATTTGTTTGTCCCAGACACAAGATTGGAGAAGAACTTGAAGATTCGATCTGTCATTTTGTTGTGCCGCTATTTCAAGAACTGATTGCGGGTCCTCGGGCTTAAGATCGAGGTTATCGTCCTGGTACCATCCGCCGTCGAACAATTGCAGTGTTCCTGTTGTTTCGGCACCTGCTTCGAATATGAGTCTTATGGCAAATAGCAACCATGGAAGAAACTGGTTCCAGATGAGCCGCATACCCGGCAGCAGGAGTGCAGACAACCATCCCTTCTGGGATGTTGGGAGAAGGAGCTAAGATCTTATTAGTTGCCTGGGATTCATTGTGACTAGGAAGATATGGAAACACGCTGAGCGAACCACCTGGAAGGTTATTCACTGTCGAAACAAACGTTTGATTGTATCGAACTTCTTCAGCTTGCTGGGGGGTTGGGGGGTATTGAACCCCGTCGACATACACTTCGCTCTCTTTCTGGTGTTCCCTCTTTCTCTTGTCGATTCGTCGCCCGATGAACTTGCCCTCCGACGGAGTCAGAGGGTGATTTTTTCGCAGGCCCCATCGCCTGAAGAACGTTTTGTACTGCGTCTTTCTATTTCGATATGAGATTCTCTATGTTTGTAGGTGCTGCAGGGTAATATGGTACTGACATTTCATCAAATCCGTACTTAATTCGAGGATATTCCCCTACTTCGCATAGCTTCTGGTTTTCATGGATATAGAGGCGCTCCAGTTCGGGCCGGTAGGACTCCCAGATGGCGTCCGCTATGCTTGGATGTCGTGGTCTTGTGTCTCAGGGCTAAGGAAAGGGATTCTTTCCGGTGGAAACCAGCCTGGTACATATCGCGGAGGTAAATCGGGGAGGTATAAAGTGACTAAGTACACCGAGTAACGCCAGGGCAGGAGTCTGGCGAATTAAGGCGTGGGCGGGAAGATGCATACCCCGACTGATTCCTTTCTATTGGCGGTTTCCAGAATTTTGATGCAGGCCGGTCGGTCGCCCTGCTAGGGGCTTGCACGGATCAAAATCCGACGACAGATGTCGGCGTGTGTGGCGATCCTTAGCGTCTTGCCCGAGTATCGACCACGGGGATTGGTCTTTATCATATCCTTGGGCCAAACCACGGTGTGGATGTGATGGCAATTGTAAGCCGATATATACAGAAACACACAGCACGAAGGCTCCTTCTTAGCTATAAAAAAGGCACTTTCGCTAATGACCTCTGGCCAAATCCACTTATTAAAAGCACTCATTGAGTCCTGCTTCAGTTCTTTACCTTCTACCCATCCGAGGGCCATCATGGAGTGGCCGACCTCCCAAGAGGTTACGACTCATCCAGACCGCCTCCCCATCGGTCAGTTCCTCTTACCCCGGTCATCAGCTGTTTCGGGGTCCCAGCTAGTCTCCTCCGTCCTTGCAAATTACCCCTATGGGGCCTTTACCTCCGTTGCGGCTGGACTTCCCCGTAGTATTGAGCCTCATGTTTGGACAGTCAATCCGACGGAGAGTCTGTCTAGTGACGGAAACATTCCACCGCCAAACGGCGTGGCGCAGACTGCACAAGCGCCGTTTGCCTATCACGAGATCCCTGCCGAGTCTCTTGATTTGTTGTATGCTTCCACTAGTAGTGGTCAGCCCCGACGAGACTGGACGGATACCAATGCAGACACGGACCCAACCTGGGTTGCCCCCATTAGCGCCACGAGCCAACTGCCACACCCAGCTTCTGAAAGGTATGTCGCCTGCTCCATCTGGTATCCCTGGGTGACCTTACCAACATGGCACACTAACGGTTAAATATCTCCGGAGTAGTATCCCTCCTACTCCATGTAGTGATCATAGCCCACCGACCTTTGAGTGCAAATGGCGAGGCTGTTCCAGCTCCACCCGTTTCAGCACTGAAGGAGACCTTGTTCGCCATCTGAAAACAATCCACATCTCCCCTGATGCGTATTCCTGTTCAGTCTGTGGAAAAACTTCTGGTAGGAAGGATCACCTCCGTGACCATCGGAGACGTCGTCATCGTGGCTTGACCTGAGACTCTGCTTTACATTCGTGTTTCATGTTTAAATTTCCTGCCATATTCTCCTACCATTGCCCCGTTTCGGCTTTTTCTTATTTATCTATCTATATATACTTATTTGGGGCCTTATTGGCTACTTTTTTCATTTCATGTTTCTCTTACTTGATATATCCATTATGGAGAGAACAATATAATAGAGAATTTTCCGATTTATATCGTCCGCACAGTTCTGATAAACAATGTCGAGGAGGCGCGGCCAATCTCGCGGGCGTTATTCTCCCACTTTGAACTTGGATTTGTTACTTTGAATCAATATCGAGTTCCTATACACTCCCGCATTTCACCAGCCGGTCGCAGACGATCGGCCAGGATACCTCACACGTCGTCCACTTGACTGTACTCAAGTCAACGACCAGAAAGGCGTCAAAAATTCAAGTAATTCAGCAAGAAAGACGTCTACTTGATATCAACATATCAACTTAAGAAAGAAGAAAGAGAGAGTGTGTGCGTGTGTGCAGGAAACAAGCCGACGAAACTGATTGTGTCTGATCGGAAGGCCAGACAGGCAACAATGTTAGATGTCAAGCCCAAACAGGCAAAAATCAACGCGAAGGGGCTCATACGTCTTCCGTTTACACTATCTATTCAACAAGTTTACCATACCATTGAAAGTCATTAAATATAGGGGAAAGTTGAACAACGATGCTGCGGGTGCCGGACTATGGGACATGAGAATGAACCAGAAGGTGGGGTACCCATGGATTATGTCCACCTGCTGCGGTCTTCAAGCGAGGTGCAGGGGGCTGCTGGTACGAGGCAGTTTGTATTGGCAGTCTAATCTTGGCAAGAATCATCGGACAGCCAGCCGCGTCTGACACCTATCAAGTGGTTTGGGTAGTTAAGTTTACGGAGAATCTGATTATCCTTACGCCAACCCTGTGCGATATATTTAATACATGATTATATTAGTGGCATATATACTCTATGTCCATATATTTTTGGATGATATTCTCTGTAATGCCGATTCTTAGCGGGGTCTACCTACTACCATAGACACAAGGATTAGCTTATTTTATCATTTAGTCGAGATGCGAGGGGTTCGTCGAGTTTTTCTACAGAAGAATTCTCGACTCTTCTAGATCGCCTCGACGAGAACAAGAATTTAGGCCTACGGCAAATTTATGGCGCATCTGAGCATTGCTATAGGACTGTTATTTGACATGAAGCTGCATTCCGCTACCACGCGGCTCCGGTTAGGGTAATTTGAGTTGTTGCTTATCTTCGGACCCTGATAGCCTTCAAGCATCACTGGTCTAGTGTACCCAGCGGCGGCGACGATGAGTGGATATATTCGCTGTGGCGGTAAAAACGGTGCGGTATAGCCTACCTAAAATGCTTAAGGTATCAACACCTAGTAGTGCGAAAGAACCACGCTTTCATTCAAAAGAGTACGCCTATCTACAGTCTTTCCGCTGTCAGCGACAACTACTCCGTAGTTCAATAAGAAGTAGAACATCAATTATCAGAAACTCTTTCCTGAACGGGTTTCTATCTATTTACTACCGAATAGTACTTTTAATATCTTGAAACCTGCTGAAGTCAGTACTACTGTGCCATAGAAAAAGGGAAAACCCTCCACGTTCGGCGTCATTTCTCCCAGACCGAGAGAATCCGGCGGCTAAATGGCGGCGCCGAAGCGACTCCATAAAGGCTACTCGGAACATAGCCTCTGGATCCCGGTCTCGGAAACGCCCAGCGACCCGAGGTACAAAACCCCAGCACTTCCGAGACAACGCCATGTTAAGCTCCCCTCTTCACTTCTTCCACGATCACTCGAACCCAGCTGAAGCATTATTTCATTCTCAATCACAATACAAAAATATAACCACCATGTCCCTGCCTTCAATAACCCGCTGTTCCACACGACACCTCCGCCCACAATCGCTCACTCCCCAACTCACCCGCACATTCTCCATTCGCCCAGCACTCCGCACCGACACCTCCGCATCCACCATCGCAACATCCTTCCTCACGCGCTTCCAATCCCTAGGCCCGCAAACCCGCTCCCAAATCCTCGATGCTAATCAACTCCAACTTCTCTCTCTAACACTCAATCGACCCTCACTATTCCCCAACTCCCCATCTCTCTCCAACACCCCAACCTCCCTGCCGACCGGCACGCCCTTACCCGCCGGATACCACCTTGTGTACTTCACCCCCGCATTCTTGGAAAATGAGCTCGGCGCGGACGGCACCGACACCTCATATAACCCTGCGTCGCCGTTCACGCGTCGCATGTGGGCCGGCGGGGAGGTGCATTGGCCGAGGGGAAAGGACGGCAAGCCGAATTATTTAAGGGTAGGGCAGGAGGTGCAGGAGACGACGAGGGTGCTTAGTGCGGAGCCAAAGATTGTGAGGAAGACCGGGGAGGAGATGATTGTTGTGGGTGTTGAGAAGGAGTTTAGGAATGAAGATGGAGTGGCTGTTTTGGATAGGAGGTGAGCAGCGATTGGTCTTTTATTTGTCGTGTGAGTTTGGGGATGGTGCTGATGAGAAGGTATATAGGAACTGGGTCTTTCGCAAAGCTCTTACCTCGCCGTCGCCTACGAGTTCATCTACACCCCCGGCGACGAAGGCATTCAATGGACCAGCTAGTTCGTCTACGGAGACGAGTGAAAATGTGCACACGCGCACATTGCGCCAAACGGCAGTGACATTGTTCCGGTTCTCCGCGTTGACATTCAATCCGCACAAGATCCATTACTCGACACCGTGGGCGAGAGATGTCGAGGGTCATAAGGATATTGTTGTGCATGGGCCGTTGAATCTCATTTCGATTTTGGATCTGTGGCGCGATACGAGGAAGAATGGAAGCGGGGAGGAGGTGGTTCTTCCGGAGAAGATCTCGTACAGGGCGACGAGTCCGCTGTATGCGGAGGAGGAGTATCGGATTGTGTTGGAAGATGGAGAGGATGGGATCGGGAGGGTGCAGATTGTTGCGCCAGGGGAGCTGGTGGCTATGAAGGCGGAGATTCAGTAGATATCGTGTAGTTAGTAGGAGTGGGTTGTAGATATTGTCTGTTTCTAGCTGGGAGGGATACATGTATGGGGTGTTACACAAGAGTTCTTAATGACATACCCTAAAATAGAAATAGTATAGCAATTATCTACTGTATAGTACTATCATTTTGAACAATGCCGAATCTTCAATTCTATATAACTTATCTGCTCCACTTCATTCTTAAAGTATGGTTCGGACTTATCTTCGGAGATAACAACTCCACCCCCATCCTTATCGCCATCACGGCAGCCTTCCATTCCACTTCAATCCGACACTCAACTCAACTTCACATCCACTATTTATCTATCGACCACAACTACCCCACCCTCCACACATCTCCCCTCATACTCGGTACATACTAGACCCACTACATACTCCACTGCCCAACGACACAGACCGAACAAGAACAGACATGGAAAAGAAACGCATCCGCGTTCAACTCTCCTGCACTGCCTGCCGAGCCCGCAAGTAAGCACGCGGCAACCCCGCCCCTCTCCCTATCTCACATTTCTCCTTCTACCTCCAATCACTGGCGCCTACTACTCCATACGCCACTCAATCTAATGATAATAACCCATGCATTAGGCTAAAATGCTGTCGTACCCACCCCTGCACAAACTGCCTGAAGCGCAACGAAGCCGGCACCTGCACCTTCGTCGGGCGCGGTCCGCGCGGCAAGATTTCGAGTAATGGACGAACCAGCCCGGCGCACGTTCAGGATCGATTACAACACTTGGAGAATTTGATTTTGTCGTTTACGCAGCAGCAGCAACAGCAACAGCAACAGCAGGAGAAGCCGGATAGTGTGGGCGAACACCAACAGGTTATTAATAATGGTGGTCAGATCACGCCGGCATCGTCGGTGCCACCATCATTGTCATTTGGGGACGTACAGCAGGCACAGAAGGAGGGGGAATCGGAAACTCCGCCTCCTGATCCCGGGAGGTTGGTCGTTGGGGAGAGAGGGATGAGGTATATTGATGGAGCGCATTGGACTGCGATTCTCGAGGAGGTAAGAGCAGTCATTTCGTGTAATCAGGGAGTTAGATTGGGTGGGGGCTGATGACGTGCAGATTAGCGGGGTCAAGGAGTACCTAAGGGATAACGAGGAGATGGGATTGTCGGACGAGGAAGGGGAAGATGAGGAGATGGTGAGGCCGTCGAATGCGCCAACGCTATTACTTGGGTTGCACCAGGAAATGACTATGGACGAGTTGTTGGACGGTTTGCCGGCTCGGCCGGTCGTGGATCGGGTCGTTGCTATGTTTGTCAGCCTTAATGAGCCGACGACAGGTAGGTGTCGCTGTTATATCGATCCTTGATAGGTGGTGCTGATAGGAGTAGTGATGGTGCACTTTCCTACTTTCCAGAAACAGGTATGCTAGCTCAATTTAGTGGGAAATATGTAGAGGATGCTGCTGACGTGCGCAGTATAATCAATTCTGGTCAAGACCAAAGGAGGCCTCCGTTTCTTGGCTGGCACTGCTGTACGCGGCTCTCACTATCACAATGTCCGTGTATATGCGCACCGGGGAGCCGCTACCGGCAGAATTTGGGGAAGCAACTGAGGCTGTCCAGCGCCTCAGGCACTTGACGGCGCAGTGTCTAGTTCAGTCAAACTACACCGTTCCCGGCCGTTTCAAAGTGGAAGCTCTGTTTTTCTACACAATGTGCGAGTTCTTTCGCAGCGAGGATGCCCAGGTCGGAGTATCGTTCCTGCTAAACATGACAATTCGGCTGGCCATGCGGTCAGGGTACCACCGGGATCCGCAACAGTTTCCGAATATCTCACCATTCGAAGGCGAGATGAGGCGGCGGGTCTGGGCTATCATGCGCCAACTGGATGTCCTGATCTCGTTTCAGGTTGGGGTCCCGCGGGGTATACAGGACTGGCAGCAGGACGTGGAGCCCCCGCGTAACATCTCTGATGAGGAATTCGGGGAGTCTACCGTTGAGCTGCCGCCATCTCGACCCGAGACTGAACTCACTACAACTTCATATATCCGCGGAAAATCGCGACTTATGGCTATCTTTGGGAAGATCTCCGATTTAGCGTACTCGCGCGATCCCATGACATATGATGAAATACTGGCCCTGGACCGACAACTGGAAGAAGCTCGGGATCTTGTGCCCCATGCATTCAAGATACGCCCTCTTGACCAGTGCTTTGTGGATTCTTCATACCTGATCCTGAGACGATACACACTGGAACTGCTGTACCAGAAGGCCCGCTGCGTGCTGCACCGGCGCTACCTGGGCGAGGTGCATACCAACCCCCGCTATGCGTATTCGCGTTGGGTATGCATGAGCGCTTCCAAGGAGATTCTCCGCCACCAGGCGGATATCTACCACGAGACTCAGCCGGGTGGGCTTCTTTACCGAGACCGACAATTCCCGAACTCGCTACAGACTGCAGATTACTTGCTTGCCGCGATGATCATCTGTTTGGATCTGTCGCAGAACCCTACCGGCACACCGCCAGGAAGCACTGACGAAGATGTTATCCGGGGCCGGGAGGAACTGCTATCGACCATTGAAACGTCGCACCGGATCTTCGAGCAGCAGCGTAGACGGTCGGCAGATGCACAAAAGGCATACGCTGCACTAACAATCATGCTGCGGCGGTTGAAAGCCCAGAAATTGGACAGCGAACAACTGGCTTCCGGTAAGTGGCACGGGATAATGTGGGATACGTCGCTAATGGATGCAGCACAACAACAACCATATGGAAGCTCCAATGGACAGTCATACCCAGTGGTAGATACAATGGGTATTACCCCAGAGTATCAGTCACTCGACGTGATCGGAGAGATGCTCGATGCGCCAACCAATCTCGACTGGGTAAGTGAGCGGCTGCAACTGATGAATGAAGCTAGCTAACAGGCGTAGAATCTCTGGGACCAGCATATGCAAAGTGTCGCCGACATGGGGGTAGGGTTATGGGGGGATAATGTACCAGGAAGTGTAAACATATAGAAAAGGGAAGGAATTGTAGACCACAGCGGAAGTGTCAACCGGGAGGAACCCGAGATAAGCTCGGGGGGCGGAGATCCGCTCGGAAGCCGACAAAAAGTCCAACCCAAAGTTGGACCACCATTCTACCCTCTACCCAAACCAACTACTGATATACTCCTAATCCCACCACCACATTGCATTGCACATTTCACATCCACAATGATGCGACCACCGATACCACGCAGCCTCCACAACCGGGTCGCATCCATCCCACGAGCAGCGCATCGCTCACTCTCCACATCAATCTTGTCCAACGGCATCTCCCACCAACCAACAAATAACAACAACAACCTACGAACCACCAGATCAACAACCTCAATCTCTCCAATCACCTCAAATCCCCAGTCTACAATCCAAAAGCGCCCCTTTCTCTCCTCCTTCCTCCCCAACTCCGACTCCGCCTCCAAAACCCGCCACCTAACCGCAACCCGAACTCTCCCACACCCTCCCGCCCCCCTCTTCGACATTATCTCCTCCGTCGAATCCTACTCCTCCTTCCTCCCTTTCCTAACCGCCTCAACCGTTACCCACCGTGACCCAACCACCAACTACCCGACCCGCGCGTTCCTCACCGTCGGCTACGGGCCCCTCAGCGAGACCTTCACCTCCAAGGTGACTTGCGACCCGGAGAACTGGGTCGTGGAGGCACAAAGCGGCGCGAAATATGGCGTGGGCAAGAAAGATGGACAGGGGTTTCCGGGTGAGGATGAGGGGCTCTTTGAGTACTTGAGTACGAGGTGGGAGTTGGAGAGTCAGGGTGAGGGTAAGGGGACGGTGGTGAGACTGGATATTCGATTTGAGTTCCGCAGTCAGTTGCATGCTGCTATGATGGGCGCTGTGGAGGGACAGATGGCGGGTGTTATGGTCGAGGCGTTTGAGAAGAGAATTTACGATGTGTTGGGGAGGGCTTGAGCTTTCTCTCCTTTGTGGATCATGGACGGTATGTGGTGGCTAGGATGTATTATATTATTGGTCTGTGAAGGGAAAGGAAGGAGACATGATACACATCAGTGCATACATAGAATATGGAATAGAAGCTACACAGTGTATAATACAGTTTATCACATGAACAAAAAAGAAATGACCGGAAGAGAGAATAAATCACAGCATGCTCAAGTTCCGTCCAGCATTAGCCGCATTGCCCTTAACCGGCCCAACCGCATTGTAGTTGTCGAACACCACCTCCCAGTTAATCCGATCCCACCAGCGCTCCAAGTACTCCGCCTTACCGCCAATACCATAGTCCATCATCCACACATGCTCCCACGTGTTAACACACAGAATAGGCTGCACATCCAAAGCACCCGGCGCCATGTTCTTCTGGTTAGCCGCGTGCGCACCCATCGCGCCAGCGTACTGGTTGCCTAGCGGCGCGTCCGGCGAGTGTGTCGCCATGTCGACCGGTTGCCTCCGCGCATGAGCCGCCGGGTAGGGCGAGCCAGCGTTATACGTGCAGAAGATGTGCATCAGACCCTCCCGCTCCAGGTTCTTGGCCAGCCAGACGAAGCCGGGGCCGAACATGGCGTTGGCAGTGGCCAGGAAATCGAGTTTCAGGGATTCGATCGAGGAGCAGGTGTCGACGATGTCTTTGGCGAACTTTTCGGGGATCTGGGTTTGTTGGGGGGACTATAGGACAGGGCTTGTTAGATGCTGAGCTCGACAATTCGACCTGACCTTGGTACCACTCACCAGGCAGTTGAAGAAGAAGTGGTTGTTGTGGGCCATCGAGGCATAGTTGAACACGGACGCCATCTCCGGCCGGCGGGAGTACTTGACCAGCAGTTCTCCGGGCTTTGCGTCGGCGTCGACGGTGTCTGTTGCAGTAGAAAAACGATGATGTTAGTTTCATACCAGCGGAGTTTGAGCTGCACTGCGAGGATACTAACCCTGCGTCATCAGGTTCAGCTTGTCAATGAGCAGACCCTGGTATTGCGTCCAGGCGAAGTCGAACGCCTCGGGCGATAGCAGCTCCGGAACGCCATTGTTTTTGAAGTACTGGTCGTTGGTCAATTGGGGCACGCGGTGCAGGCTCCGGATCTGGAAGCGTGGGAGCGCGGAGACGGGCTTCTGGCGGAGGTCAGGTTGGTTAGCTATGAGCCCACCCCGGACATTGGGACAGGGTCAGCTCACCTGGGAGAAGGCGGAGGCAGCACGCAGCGCGGACTGCGGCCGGAAGAGGCGGTTCAACATGATGATGGGGGATTGGACAAGCGACAAGATGACGAGCAGCAAGCGGTTGATTTCAGGACCACCGCAGAATTTCCCGTTCGGCCTTCAGAACTCACCTCTTTCGGGTCTAGCGCAGGTTAGGTAAGCGGGCGCCAGCTAAACCAATCAGAATGCTGCGATTTACTTCGGCAGCATTTCAGCCTTCGTGATCTTCTTCGTCTGGCTTCATCGCTCAACATCCTCTACGCGCCGGGCTCTGCAGGAGCTCTGGTCGGGTTTAGAATGCCATGGCCTGCCGTTGATCGTCGCCTTCCCGTGGCTCTTCCCGGCGCCTATCTCAACCATCCTCATTAGCCCTCGAACCATGCGCCCCATCCGCTGTGCTATTCTGAGACTCGGCGCCTGCAGCTGTGGGTGTTTGTATCATGATGCTGCAGAATGTCGGGCAGCACGTAGCACTGGTTGATTAAGATGGGCGCTTCCTAGTCCATCGTTGGGAGCGGATGGCAAATGCCTTTGTAAGTCGCTCATTGTTCTTTCAATTGTTCTTTCACTCATTGACCCTGTTGCAAAGTTCTTGTCTCATACTTTCTTTCATAGACAACGTTCCTCGTTTAGCCAAAGCCTACTCCAGCCTTTATTTGGTTTTCTTCTTCTTCATTTCTGTCAATTGTACTGGATTAGACTCTGATCGCAATGACGAGGCCACATCTTTGTTCCCTCATGACACGACCCTCCATGATACTGCTCCTCGCCCTCATCGCTTCGACAGTATCGCCAACGCAGGCCTTTGGCTTACTGCTACGAAGCTCTGACTCCTGTCCCAGCAACTACAACAAATGTGCGGACAGCAAGTTACCGGCTGATTTCTGCTGCTCCAGCTCATCAACATGCATCAGCCTGGACGACTCCAGCTCTGCCATCTGCTGTCCAAGTGGACAGAGCTGTGATTACATCGAAACCATAACCTGCGATGTGCAGCTCCAGAACGCAACAGCACATCCCAAGAACTCTGTCAAGACGACCCGGCTGGATGACTCCCTCCCTAAATGTGGCGACAAATGCTGTCCCTTTGGATACACCTGCACAGGAGACTCGCTATGTGCCATGAACACATCCAGTGCATCCACCCTCAGCGCCAGCCAGTCATCCACAACGTCCACAGGAGGGACCACATCCTCCACAGGAACCATCACCTCCTTCACAGCCTCCGCCTCTACAACCGATGCCTCCAACCCCACCATCGTCCCCGTCACCACGGGCTCCTCCAAATCCGCCATCTCCGACAACAACAGCAGCGCCAACGGCACCTCCTCGGCAGCCGCACTATCTTCCAAAGCCACCAGCCCATCCTACCCTACCAACGCTATAATAGCAGGCTTCTTTCCCGGCGCCATCTTCGGCGCCGTCCTAGCCCTGTTAGCCCTCTTCCTCTACCGCAAATACCAAAAGAAACACCAGCCCCCATCCGCCAAAGTAGCCCAATTCACCCGCCGCTCCTCAAAAGGCACCCTCCTCGGCATCTCCTCCCCGATCCCCTCCGACGAGACATCTTACCGGACAGACTTCCTCCTCCGCCGTAACCGCAACACGAAGCGATACTCCGAAGGCGCTCGCTCACGTATCCAGCGCACTGGAACTCGAGTCCGGAGTCTCTTCAACCCTAACAATGCTCCTCCTCTACCGAAAGCTAACCCTGCAAAGACCCTTGTCCCGGAACACGGCGGAGGAGCAATGCACGCCCGTGTACCGGTGCCTGTTCCCCCGCTACCTATCTCCGTGACACCGTTGCAACCCGGGCGGACGCCATCGAAGAAGAAATTGACCCGTACGGAAAGCATAAGGGTGTATACCCCGCCAGGGGTGTTTGCTACGACAGGGGTGTTGAAGCCGGATCCGTATCCAACACATATAAGGACGGAGGGGGCGTTTGATGACATGGAGAAGTGATGTCTTAGAAGTAACTTTTTTTGAATTCGTACGTGGATTGAGATGCGTACGCATTTACGTTGTTTTCCGTGACTGAATAAAGTAATGAGGTGGTTCATTGTCTGTAGTATGTTCATGTCCTGAGATACCTTAAAGTTAACTGTTTATTTGAATTCCCGCAATCAATATCATGCAATGAATCTAAGAATCTAAAATACTATACATACACGAAACCAAAACTACCCACTAAAACGGGGTCATCACTTCCTTCTCTCCCTCCAAGCACTCACCACCTTCTTGACCTCCTTCAACAACCCCACAATAAGAGGTACTCCCACCGGCCCCAGCAGCGGCAAATACACCGCCACCTTATGCTCATCCGGGAAATACATCTGGCCTACCATACTCTTCTCGAAGAAGCTGCGCTCGGCCTCGCCCTCCGCGACACGGGCACTCGCCAGGGCGGCCTGGAACTGGCCGTGGCGGAGATGGTCGCATGCGGAGGAGAGATGAGAGAGCGTAGTAGAGACGGAGGTGGCCACGGTAGCGGGGATGGGGATTTGAGGGAGGGACTCGGTGAGACGGGCGAGGGAGCCCATGGTTGAGGAGGCGGAGAGGAGGAGGGATGCGGCGCGGACGCGGGTGAGGGTTTGGAGACGGAGAGGGAGAGGTGGAGGGGTGGAGGGGGCGCCGAGGAGGGTGAGGAGTTGGTGGGAGAAGGTCATGAAGGCCGGGCCGAGGGTTTCTTTGGTGAGGTGCGTGGGGTGGTCAGGGGTTGGGGTTGGGTTTAGGAGGAAGACACCGCCCCATTGCGGGATGATCCAGCTGGTTGCGAGGCTGTCTTTGACGACGAGGGGGGATTGTGAGGGGGAGGGGATGTAGAGGATGAAGTTGATGGTAGGGCCGGGGCCGATGCTGGGGCTGAGGGGCCATTCGGCGGCGTTGATGAAGGCGCTGAGGTCGTCCTTTTTGAGGGTCCAGGCAGAGTGGGTTTCGTCGTATTCGGGGGGTGGCGCGGTTGGGGAGGAGGTTGCGTAGAGCTGGACTTGGGTGTCGACAGTGAAGTTGCTGATGGGGGAGAAGGCGTCGAGGACCGGGGTGATGTAGTCGTGCACGGCGGCTTGGATGTCCCAAGAGGAAGGGGATGCGCCGGGGGTGAAGAGGCTGAAGGCGAGGTGGTAGGTGTCGGCATATTTCATGGAGCGGCGGAGACGGCGAGTAACGCTCTCTGCGAGATCCGGGGAAGTGGGTGCGCCGGGGATGTTGTAGTCGGAGAGCACCTGGGCGATGATGGCTTTCTCCTCGGCGAAGAGAAGCTGAAGCTCGTCTGCGAGGAAGGTGGATAGGGGCGAGTTGGACGCCGACGGGGGCGGAATCTGGCTAGGGGGATAGAAGACATCGAGCTGAGTGGTATCATGGTGGAGAGCTGCGCGAGGGCTGGAGAGGTCGTCCTGGGGCAGTAGACGGACGGTCAATGCGGTGTCTGCGGCGTCGGCTGCGGGCTGATCGGGGTTCTCGTGGGAGAGCTTCAGTCGCAGATGGTGCGCGGAGAACTCATTGAGGTCATCGAGCGTGTGCTGCGTAGAGCGGAGAAGATGCTGAGCGTCGACATCAGGCAGGGAGGGGGTCTCAACGCGGATCTCGAGGGGGAAGACAGGACGACAGGTCTGGTGTTGGGGATACTGTTAGCGAGGCTATGAGCAGCAAGGTGGTAAGATTACCTTTCCATCAGCCCAATCAATCATGTCCGGGACAGGCAGAGAAGCGCGATAGATCGAGGTGGTCTTCCACCAGATGGGAAAGCCCAAGAATATGATTACAGCCCAGAAGGCCGCAATGACCTTGAAGCGGGTGCGGATGGCCTCGGGCTTCTCGGGCGGCGGCAGACGCGCCGTGGGGGTTGCGGTGCTCATGGTGTGGTCGGAGACAGTCTGAGGAGACGTCTGGGGATAATTATTGGCCGTCATGGCCACATACTTGAGAGAGGGAGTGGTGGTTGTCGAGTTGGAGATGAAATGGAGATGGAGTTGAGATGCGGCAGCCAAGGCGGAGTGGCCCCGCCAGTTGGCCGATCGTCTTGGTTTTCTCGCGGTTGAAGTTCTACGTCTGGAGCAGCAGAAAATAGTCTAACAGCATACCGATAATTCCATATTATGCTATCCTGCAAATTCACTTGGGGTATCTAACCAATGCGCCAGCCCAAAACAACAAGACAATCCCAACTAATACTCCTTTTCGAAGATCTTTTGGATCGGTTTGGCCGCCTACACCCGTTAGTAAACTTCATAGAGAGGAACACAGTGCAACCCACGTCGATAAACCGCTCTAAATCCTGATCCAAGCTGGCCAAATCCTCCTTGCGCTTGTTGTTCTCCGCGATCAAGGCCTGCTTGCGCTTCAGCAGCTCCTGTCGTGCCTGTTCCAGCTTCTCCCGTTCCGCATGTTCGTGATTGATGCGAGCGATCATCAATTCGTGTTCATCGGACTGCTGGTGCTCGGGATGCAGAGCCAGAAACTCTTCGAGGGGAATCAAGGGTAGGGAGCGATATTTGTGACTATCCTGGTCAGCGTTCCCCACCATACAATGTCCATCGAGGACCACCTACTCGTAGGACTCGCAGGCGGCGATCTCGCCCGTCAAATGTCGCTGTTCATAATACAAGTTCTGGAGTTGGAGATGGAGACGGTCAATCTCCTGGCGGGCTTCTGCAGTGGACTGCTTGGTCTCGCGCACGCGCATAATCGCATCCCGGTTCTGGCCCCGCAGACGAGCCAGAAGAGCAAACAATTGTTTCTGCTCGCGAGAGGCTGCCAGAGCACGCTCTTGAGGGTCATCGGACAGATCAGCCGTGGGGTCGAGTACGGCCAACAGTTTCATGCATTGATCGCGAGTCTCGGCGCTGAGCCCGAGCACGGGCAGCAGCGAGGGATTGGCGACGATATCGCGGATGGCCATGGCGGGTTATCACAGGATGGATAATTCCGACGGGAAGGCGGAGACGACAGAAGGATAATTAGCGTGTACCAGTGCTTGAGGAGAGGAGGATGTTTGTGGTTCGGAGGTGGCTGGTGGCAAGGAAATCAACGCCAACGTGGAGCAGGTGCGGTCGCTGATGGGCTGAGCGCTAATGTTGGGTTTGTGACAGTAGCCACTGAAAGGTTTGGGATGAAAAGAATGGCGTGTAGACTCAATGAAGTCCAAGGCTAGTGAGCTGCCGGTTGGAAGACCGAGCGGGAATGAAAAAGGCCGTTTCAGCGCAGTGGTTTGTTAGTTAGTTGATTCGGAGACGAAGCGGCCGGGAATTAATCTTTGGATCCTCCCCTCCCCACTTGATTTGATTCTCTCCTCCTCTTTCTTGTCCTTCTCCTTCTCCTCTTTTTGTCGACTGACAGACACCTCTGTCTCCGTTTTCCCCTCGCCTCTCTCTAACTGTACTGGCTACTGTTGGATTGCCTCTCCTCTTTTTCGTCTTTCCTTTATTACTCTCTCCTCTCTCCTCTCCTCTCCTTGCATATTTATTTGTTTTCTCTTCTTGTACGTATTTTGGTACTGGTTTTCTCCGCCTCTCCCGGTTCTCCCGATCTTCCCCACCCAAAACAACATCCTTCGCTGTCTGCCCAACCACCACTAACTCCTATTTTCTTCAGGATATGTGGAATTGATTTCTACGCTGTGGGTTCTCTGTCATTGTACGCCATGGCCTGCTCATCGCAATCTGTCACCATTGAGTCCTATCCTGAGGCGGCGGTGGCCTCCGCCTATGCCACCCCCGGAGAAGACACCGGCCTCCTGAGAGATCGCCGTCGCAGACACTCTTTTCACACAGCTCGCAAGTTGTCCTGCGACTACGATGCGGACGCTGTATTCCTACGGGTACGCTGCATTCTCGTCTTCACCCCCAATTCTGTCCCTGACTGACCTCTCCGTAGGTGGAGCTCTTCCTGGCCGAACTCGAACGACGCCTCCACTGGCTCGAACAATACCGCAAGTCCCACATGGATCAGATCGACGCCAGTCTCCGCCGTGGATACGCCACCCTGGAAGCCGTGCGAGATTCCTGCTCCCATGCCTCCGGGGAGCTGATGGGTGGTGGGAAAAAGCGGGCCAAGATCCTCGTCGAGACGCTGGAGGACCGCTACATGGATGCACTCGCAACAAAGGAGACACTCGAACAAAAGGCCCAGGCGGGAGTCCGATTGATGGAGTCGTTTCTGGTCGAGCTGGAGTCCCGCGCCCATGCGGTCCGCGACCGAGGGCTCTACGGCACTCTGGACGATGGATGGAAGGCGATGGACTCGAAGCTGGTGCATGCCCGTGAGGTGGTCGACGAGGGTATGGAACGGGCACGACGGGCGAAAGACGCGCTGCGGGAGAGCATCGATCGAGCTATCCTGCTGGCCCAGGAGCAACGGTTGATCACGTATGCGGATCTCCCGCACCCGTGGCGGGTGAACCCGCATATTCTGCAGGGGTATCGGTTCACACACTCCAAGGTGGAATGCTTGACCTCGGTGTTCTCGCCTTCGAATGAGACGTTCAACATCTGGTCCCACCTGATTGGGCTTTTCATCGTCCTATCGGTGGCCTTTTACTTTTATCCGCTGAACCCCAACTTCCACCTCAGCTCGCGGACGGACATTCTGGTGGCCGCCGTCTTCTTCTTCGCGGCGTGCAAGTGCCTTGTCTGCAGCACACTGTGGCACACGATGAACAGCATTGCCAGCCAAACGCTGATGGAGCGGTTTGCCTGTGTGGACTACACGGGCATCTCGATGCTGGTGGCAGCCTCGATTGTGACGACCGAGTACACGGCTTTCTACTGCGAGCCGGTGTCACGGTGGACTTACATTTTGCTGACCATGTCGCTCGGTATCGGAGGTGTGATTCTGCCGTGGCACCCAACCTTCAACCGGGCGGATATGGCATGGGCGCGCGTGGCCTTTTACGTGTCGCTAGCGCTGACGGGATTCGCGCCGTTGGCACAGCTGACGTACACGCGTGGACTCGCCTGGTGTTTGTATTTCTACGCACCAGTAGTGAAGAGCATCATGGTGTACTTCGTGGGAGCGTGTGTTTATGCGTCGCAGGTGCCGGAGCGGTGGCGGCCAGGACTGTTCGATTATGTGGGTGGCAGTCACAACATCTGGCATCTGGCTGTCTTGGGAGGGATCCTGTTCCACTATTGCGCGATGCAGGATCTGTTCGCGGGAGCATTCCAACGGGCGCAGGGCGAGTGCCCGAACCTGGCCAAGTAGGAGGTAGATGGGTAGTAAAAGGGGTGTAGATGATGTATAGACATAGAGTAGATGTTGGTTGTATTGTGGATGTTTCGTTCTTGTACATACATTTGGGGAAGATAGCGGACATAGACTTCTTTCCTATAGCTTCAACAGTTACCATCTGACCACAACCTTGGCAGTTATACTTCTCTCGATACTTCTCTCCCGGCAACCCCTCATTCAACGTCTGTCTAGTTGTAATAGTTTGGATGAACCGGCGTTGAGAAAACGAGCAAGTCAACCACGGGAAAGGGCCCATCCATTACATTTGCAGCGACGGGATTGGGTGAGATGCAATGACACGATGGGTCTGGAGGAAGACTACTAAGAGACCATAGTGGATGACAGTTGGTTCACGAGATAAAAGGAGATCCTCATCCGTGAGCACTAGACAACTACCAACCCCTCCATGAGGCCATAGAGGGGCCACAAAAAGCAGCTTGCTGCTGAATATATAAACTGATCGGACTGACCACTTTATCTACTACTGCACTTCTGTCTCGCCACCACCACAACAACATCATCCTCCCAACCCATAACCACCTCACCACTCAAAAGAACCCAAATAGAACTCAAGAAAATGTTCCTCGCCTCACTCCCCCCCAACACCCCCATCACCGTCACCATCACCGGCACCCAACCACACACCCCTCCTACCCTCACCACCGAATTATCCTCTCTCTTCGCCTCCGCCGCCTCCGACTCTCTCTGCGCCCATACCGAAACTCTCCACCAGCACCACACCTCCCCCACAAGCATCATCCATCTAACCTACTGGTCCACAACAAACTACGAGACCTGGCTCAAATCCCCCAAAGTCTCCGCCTTCTTCGCCTCCCTTCCCAGCAATCAAAATGATGAACCAGCAGGAATCTACCACGAAACCCTAACCATCCAGCCATCTCGCATCCAAGGCGCCACGAACCACCCCGTGCCCTCGGGATGTATGCACTTGGGCAAGATTGACCTCAAGCCAGAGTTGTCGGGGTATTGGGGGTGTTATCCGGATCGTATCCAAGAAAAGGATATAAAAACTTCCTTAACCAAGGAAAAGATCAGTGCTGTTGCTGAAAGCAAGAATGCTAAAGAAGAGGGGAAAATAATCCCGGGAAAACAAACCATCACACACATACCCGATAATATCTGCTTCGTCGTCGAAGGCCAAGACCACTCCGCCGCGTCGGAGAAAGAACGCACTTACTGGAGCGAACACTTCGATTCCTTGTCCCAGGAATGGGTGGGCCAGGTGCTGGGTGCGGGATTACCCGGGGGTGTGGTTTCTTCGAGGGGGTGTTATAGTTATTCTGTGCCTTCTACTATTTCTACTTCTGAGGGGGTGAAGAGGTATCCGTTGACGCTTGGGAGGGATGTCCAGCTTCTTTACTTTGTGGATTTGCAGCATATGGAGACGTTGGGGAGGAAGAGTGCGGAGCATGTGAAGCTTAGGAAGGCGTTTATGGAGGCGTATGGGCCTGGGGGTGTGTTGTTTGGAGGGGGGTTGAAGTTGTGGGTTGAGACGGCGGTGTTGAGGGACGGGGATTTCAAGGGCGAGTATTGGGGCTGTGAAAAGGGGACGGGGTTGTTGGGGGTAAGGGGAGTGATGGGGGTTGAGTGATTTAGTGTGTATATGCAATGGGGATCTTGTTAGCATGGCAGTTGTTGATATGCAACGGTGGTGATATGGTGGAGAAGATGTATTGAATCAAGGTCTATATCACGATGATCTTGGTCCGTCTGGAGGGTATCATGCAGATGGATATGGAGAATGGAATTGGTGTACACACTTAATGCTCTGTATCCGTATGCGTCTACTTATGGTACCCAATGAATGCAGTTTGATAAAGCTATAGTCATCACACTCTCTGTACCTCTCCCACTATCAAGCAGACCATGGATACCTCAACTACTACAACTGAGCAGCAGGCTTACGTGGACTCGACCCAAATCAACATAGAAAGTAGACATGATCTACCACTACTAACACCATGTACGGAGTCTACATGTCCTTGTATAGAAACGAGTATATCCTGACTTGGTTTCATGACTCAAAATCCTGCTTCTAGCTCACTCAACGCATAGATCCGAAATATCTCACAAATTTCGTCACCTGTACTGATAATCATTCAGTACCTGTCACGGCTGCGCCTTGGAATGCACGCAGATATCCATTCTTAGCAGCATATACGTAATCACTGCTGGTCATACTCTCAGCACATGAACAGGTAGCAGCCATTGATCATTAAACTCCATCATCCGCAAGAACACCCACCTCGCGTGTACATCTTGCAACGCATGAACCATCCTTCGCGTCGCATGACCTCTGCATTACGAGCCGATCAAGTCTCCACAACTGTTCACTGCGTGGGACTGCGGTGCTCTCCATGCCAAGTTGCATTGCATCGTGTTTGCCCACGCTACCTGGCATCGAGACACATTATCCCGCCCTGCTTCGAAACCTGTTTCGAGACGAGGTTCAACACTGCTGATAGGTTAGAGTACCGGAGAGTGGCCGAGAGTAAATCAAGCTCTGGGAAAGATACTGCCCGCTTCAGTAGAACAGCTCATATCACTGGCTAACAAGGATCAATGTGACAATATGCATGCATAATCTGGTTTTCACCCACTGCGCGACTCACGGTCAATCCACCGCGCCACATAGGTGACGTTGCTGCTGCCACTCACCTCGGAGATGTAAGTGTAGATCTCAACGCCTCGACGCCACGCTCATCCCTTCCTGGTTGCCTTCGGTTGCCTTGGGCCTGACTCGGGTCTGGCGGTGGGATGCTGCCGTTATTGCCATGTGGATATGGTAGCCTCGGGATAGTTGACCCAGATAATGGGAACCATAAGGCTGATCGCGGCATATCTCAGTCTATAGATCCCGTGGTTTTAATATATGCAATGTTAGACTATCGCTTGCCAGTCTAGTAGATCATACTGCCTACGGTGATCCTAGAAAAGCAGCGCAGCTAAGAAAAAAGCATACTCTCTCGTGATGAACATGATCCTCGTATAAGCCACCATGCTGGGTCCCCCACGAGGATCACGAACAGGTAGATAATATATCCACTTTACGCAGGGATCATCCGGAAGCGAAGGCTTGAGCTCCCATGTGCCGTGCTCTCAGCCGATTGCTATGTCGGTTTTCTTGTCAGCTGGATCTTCTGATGCTGTTATTGGCCTTTGTCCTCTTTCTGCTGTTCCACTTCATCACACCCGGTCATTCTGCTGGTTCATGCAGGTGTCCGCTGCGCTTCTCGCTTCGTTCAAGCGATGTTTCAGCTATCAGCTGCGCCGAACCCTAGACAGTTCTACTTCAGCAGCATGATCACACGCCAGAGATTCACACGCATGCACTGTGTATCATCTGGAGGGAATAAGCACTCCCCAACCACACGTATTGTGCTTCTTTAAGACCTACAGGTCTCAGTTGGCCTGGTCACCATGGGTAACCCCTGCCAAAAGTAGCGCATCACAAATGGCATAGCAGAACTACGATTATCATCACACAGGCAACAATATTGAGTCCAATATCCCAAGCTCGTGCTATCTTCGATCCAGCTTGTAACGCTTGGTGCATCAGCAAGGACCATCAGTATCCCACACGCAGAGATGGGCTTTCTCAATGGTATGTGCTCGTGTAGTTTGCTTGAAACAGCCATATTTGAGGCATTTCCACGTCGTATTGGCCATCTCTCACGAGCCCACTAGTGATGGACCACAGAACCGAGCTCGTACTTTGATTCTGATCGGACATCTAAATCGCAGTCGATGGTAAACACTAGTCCTTGTAACATACTTTGCTGCCTTACCAAAGATTGGACGGCAGCAGCGTGTTTCAAGTTTCCGAGTATCAAACGGCTTTCAGTCGGCTGCTTTGGGCCTGGACGTAGATAGTAAACCGATATGAACCTGTTCGTATCAAGATTTGTCACATAGCCCTTGAGCCATGCATGCATGAAAGAGGCATGCCAACGCCATATCATGGCAATGCACTTACGCGCATGTATAAACGCAAATGACTCATTCCGTGTCGCGGCTTGAGCCGACATCCAAAGGCCCAGCCTCGTGTAGCACCCCGGCTAAGCATACCTTGCTTAGCGAACATAATCTAGGGATTTGACGGGAGCAATACGAATTTGTAGCAAATCCCGAAAGGCGGAAGGGTGTATGTCGCTTCCGTGTAACGCTCAGAGACTACTAGTTTTATGGTACCTGAAAAACTAGTCAGGGGACCCGTAGGTTCCGAAGAGTTCCTGCGTAGAGGGTCCTAGTTTGGACGTATCGCTCGGTGAGGAGGACTTGACGCGGATCCCTGCCGAGGTCGTCCATGTCCGAGCATACCTCAAGGAAAAAGGGAGAGAGAAAAAGCAACGGTCCTTGGCTTGTTGACGAATGCCAACAGATTGACGGAGAACGCCGGTCCACAGCCTTTCACATTTCCGATGAAGGCCTCATCAGCTGCTCGCGTCACCTCGTTCCTGCAATCCTGCTAGTTGACGTAACTAACTTCTGGCGGGTGTTTCAGCTGTCCTGCGCGTGAGTGACGACCGCTTGTCATGCTAATTTTGTGGCGGCCGGAAGGGGCTGTACAGGGAAAAGAGTTACGCCGAAGAACAGGGGTAGCATAGGAAAGGGAACACTCAATTCCCCGGAATTTCCGTCGACTTGTTTCATAATTTCATCACACTATGCCTTAGGCTTCAGCTGAAGGGAGGATCAGCGATGTGCAGTTGCGGCGTAGATCTTTGCCGCTTTAGCTGCGAACACCAGATCTCACAGCCTGCGCAAGACACTAGGTCAAGGGCGCAGTTAGCTTGGATTCCTAGGAGTCCCTCTTCTTCTGGTCCCGTAATTTTAAGGCTCGGCCGCTGCCATAGTTCGGCTCGGTTCGAGACATGGCAGCTCTGACCAGCGGTCCACGCGGAAAGGCATGCTTGGCTGGTCCAGTTTGTTTAATCTCTTGTGTTCTCGCTTTTCTTTTCTTTTTTATTCTTTTTGGCTCGCTGGTTTTATAACCTTGTCACGTACTTTTCAGAAAGATCCGGTTCCGATAGAAGCCACTGATCGTTTGACGAAGTAAATGAAGTCATCCTTGGACTCGGTAGCCCTAGTAAGTACCTGCTATCCATGTCGGACCGCCAGCCAAGGGTGGTCCATGCGGGTTTGCGCACCGGCTTTCTTACCGAATAGAAGCAGCGATGAAAGATAAGGTTGCTGGAGCTAGGAGCTTGGACCAAGTGTGCCTTGCAGGCGCGCAGTGAAACCAACCAACCCGTGTCCGCGACCAGGGGAAAAGAAAAGTAAAAAATTATTGACGGTATTATTTACTCGGCCCTTCAATAAATTCGTATCCTCACTCAATCCTGCGGCCGAGCTCGGTATTCACTCGCATTACCGGAATGCAGTCCGTTTTCAGGCCGTGTGAATCAATAGCACTGGAGGTGTTTCCTGATGGATACCTTTCCCCGCGGAATGGCGTGGAGACTGACCGTTTCTGGGTCATAATCTGCCAGCGGAGAAGCCCGCAAGGGCGCTGACATATTCGGGGGAAGCGAAAAATAAATCAGAACGGAATCGGCCGGCGTTGTCTGTAGATAGCAGGGGACGATAGCCCAACGCTTTGTGAGTGAGACCTCAGAGGAGCCCCTTTTCGGAATGCTTTCTCCGAGGATCCCTGAGATGGCCAACCGCCGTTCCTCCTCCATTGCTCCGTTAGCCGTTCATAGTCACTTTAGCTTGTGCAACGGACCCGGCGTTCTGGTAAGCCATGCGAAGGAGGCAGCCGGACTTCCACCAACTCGGCGAATCTAACGTTAGCCGCCAAATAGGAATGATTAGGTCCGTGGATTGACGCAGGGTACTTTCGCCGCTACTCCGTAGTTTGCCCATTATTTACGGTAGTGCCATCACGATCCGTGATTGACCAGGCCAAATTTAGAAAGCGACAATTGCTTTTGGGGGGCGCATCCTCATTTCTTATCGCGCGGGCGTGGATATCCCCTTTTTTGACTGGTCCACAGGCCAGAAAAAAGCAAATCTGACAGAGCACTGGCCAGCAGCAATCTTTTAAGGAGAACGAGGCTTGACTTAGCAGGCTCCTTTTCAGCAAGTACATAGTTGATCGTTTGATTAAAGGGACAACCCCTCAGTCAAGCTGACCGAGGTAAGCATGTCCGGCGGGCTGTGACAAGCAGGTATGTGAGCGCCTCCGGATCAAGATCGGGGGTTGTTCAATAATCCCTGCTGATGTTCTGCTAATTTTGGACTGTTGTCGACAGGGCTAGAAGAGACAGCGAACTAACTAATGTTGCGTCCTCTAATCGAGCGAGGACTGCTCTCGTATCGTAATGATGGTTGAGGAAATGGGGTGAAGCTTTCCACATTCACCTCATCACAGCCTTTGCTGCCCAACTTGCAAGTTTGTATGCTGTCGAAGGATGACATTGTCACCTGCAGCTTTCGTAGTGACTGCCACTGAATGCAATAATGCCGTTGATTCTTCGGAGACCGCAGAACCGTTAGTGGATAGTGTCGCCAATCCTAGCTGAAAACAGTAAGACCCAAGGAACCTGAAAAGCAAAAGAAATTATCGAGATGCAGAAGCGTGGGTGAGAGAAAACGAAGTCCAAAGTCCGCCTATCCCTGGGGCAGTGCGTGATCGCTTGGATAGGATCGACCACGTTTTGTCCACATCGGTGAGGTCTCAGGCGATCCTTCAAACGGTCTGCCTTCGATCCCTTCTTCGTTTGGCTGCTCAATCCCCCCCGTCTCTTGTCCGAGAAAGGATGGGTCTTCACTATGACATAGCGCGAGTGCGAAAAGGGAGTAGCCTGGCGGTCAAAGGGGGGTCGGAGGCAGTGGTCTAGATTTCTGAGAAGCTTTCAATCGTGGGCAGAGCAAGCTGATTTGGGCGTTTCAGCCCTCAAAGCCCCTATCCGATGACGACTGCCGTTGAACATCCGCTATGACCAGTTTGGTTTGGTAGTGGACTTTAGACCCAAGACGCATACCGAATGACCGGTTATGGTGTTTCTCGGCTCATGTGCCCGATGTAGGCCATGCTGATGATCGTTCATGGGTTCCCCAGAATGTCCTTACTGTATCCAATGGTTCACGAACCGGACTTTGGGTCACACATTTCACCCTAGTGCTTACCCTGGCAATCATCGCTTCCAATTTCCTAGGGATTGGGTGAATGTGACTAAATTCGTCTATCGGGTCAATGGGCTGATTCTCGGCAAACCCTAGATCGAGGATGTGCAGCTATCCGAACTTGCAGGGCAGAGTCTCATCTCGATCAGTGGCTGATCTTAACTAGACAGCCCAACCGTTCCTTGAAAGTAGCCTAGTTAGTCAGAGATACACTACTCCGAGGCACTATCCCACCGAAGATCTTTATCTGCCTGTGTCACTTACTGGCTTCTTTCCTACCATTTCGCTTCACACTCCGGACCCTTTTTCGGATTTTCCAATCTCATCGTTTCCCTCCTCGTCTGTGGCAGTCCAGCTTTTTTTGGATGCTTCCAAGGCATCTACTTATTCTTGTATCACATTCTCGGTTTCAGTCGTCAGCAACAGCGAGGCTTGGAATATAGCTGGGGCCGTTGAAAGGTATATAGGGACAGGTTCCTCCTCGCCGTTTGGTCAGAACTCGTTAACGATTTCAAGCCAAACAAGCCTTCCCATCCACTCCAGTTCTCAATCTGCGTCTAAGAGTCTTCTCTCTCTATACTCAATCAGCTTCCATCACGCATATTCATCTGTCCAAACCCTCTCAAATCTATTCGCGAAAGCCATCCATTGAGTTCACGGAACCCATCATCCAAACTTCATCATGTCAGGAAACGCTCATACCTCCAAGTAAGCATCCTTTCCCGCCTCTTCAGACTTGCTATACTCACACACTTGCAGGTCCGCCAACGGCATGGGCAGCAGTCTCAGTGCAGGAAACCTGAGTCACATCCCCGATGGCAGCAGTGGCAGCATGGAACGCTTCTCGCAGTCATCCGCGGCGGAAGCACCTTACTATGCCCGAGCACGCATGGGTGAACGCTCTGATCATGTGTCACGCCTCTCGAGCCAGCTCGACGCGACAGAACAGATCTTGAAAAAATGAGCGAAACCCGAAAAAGAGAAAAAAAGAATAGAAAAGACAAAATGCAAACGCGAAAGAATAAAAGCGCTATGAGAGACGACCTTTTTGCGAGTCGCTTTGAGGAGACTGGGAAGCAGGCGATATGCTGCCTGGGTTGCGGGGAAACGGGCAGGCGGAAGTGAAGGGGGAAATGGAGGACGACGAAGACCAAACGGTCAGTCTGGCCAGGCAGGCGCTATACCCAAACAGGAGCCACTTGCTCCAACGCTGGACCAGAAAGAGGAAGGAAACGTTTATATAGAGGTCCTATAGATACCAACTGGCGGCGGAAAACGCGCCGCCGTCTATCCTTGACAATGCAGATACCCAGTCTCCTATGTTCTAACCACTCATTCTATCCAAGTGATCGCATAAGTAGTTTCGAGATTAAGTGCGTCAACAAAACAGTAAGACTTGTGTGACATCTAAATTATCGCCGAATGAAACCAAGAGGATGCTCTATATTGAACTGACAATGCGGGCCAACATGAAATCGATGGAAAGCACCAACCCAGTGGAAGAAGTCAAAACAAAAAGCCCCGCTCCAAGATGTCTATAAAGACAGTAAATCCAATGAATGATCTGCGTCGTAGGGTAAATCCCTATTGCAGCGTCCTCAGTGCATGAATTCCATCATGTATTGGGCCACTTCTTCGTATTTGGTACTCGGGAATTCGTGGCCTGCATTGAAGAATCTAAAGCTTGCATGCCCTTGAAGTGCCGACGTTGCATCGGGAACAAGTTCATTCTTGACGATGACAGCATCATGGTCCCCGCACATGATGAGAACCTTATCACTCGGGAGGCCATTCATACGCTGCTCATCGACCGGGAGACTTTTTTGTGTCGATAGGTAACTTCCAAGGCGTTCCCAAGTCTCGCGCTGGCGCTGCTGCAGAATTGGTCCATGTCGCATACTGGACATGAACGCATGCACGAACCCGGCATGCTCTCCCACTTGCCATTGGACAGCACGGGGAACATTGACATGAGAGTACGTCCGAGACAGCTGCTGAACTTGTGCCGCACCCTGTGTTGGCAGCTCCTCAGCGAGTGCATCCTCGGCGGTGAGCTTATGAGATTTCGGCTTTGGCGTAGTCAGCGGGCCTGCGCGCAGGCGGCGTCCAACAAGGAAGCCAAGCACACGTTCCGGAACAAGACCGCGGGAGTAGAGGAGACGTGACTGGAAGCTGATCTGGGAGTCGCGGATCAAGCCGGCGGGTGCAAGCAGTACCAGCGAAGAGAGAAATTGGGGGAAATATGATGCAAAAGAAGCCGCTATACCACCACCCAATGAGTAACCCACGAGGCAGAATCTACCGGAACCGGCTCCGGTCCAAGAAAGTGCGGATGAGTTCAAAGCGAGCAGGATTTGGGTAGCGAACAGTCTGTTGTCCTGTGGGATGTCAGATGGGCAGTCAGAGTAGCCTCTACCGAACCTGTTCAAGCTTGTTAGTGACTATTTTTCTTCAATGTAAGCGAGTCACATACAGGTCAAATAGCATGACCCGGCAGCCCCGGTCAACCAAGGCATGGGCCAACCCCCCAAGTGCAATACATGGAGTGGTTATCCCGTGAACTAGGAGAACCTTAGGTCCATCTTCTGGACCCCATTCATATACACGCATAGATCCATACGGCGTTGACACATCCCGGGCTCCCGGGAGTACGTCCGTGGGCAGCGGAAGCTCACGGTTCACTGAATCGGACACGGACAAGACCTTCTTGCGCGGGGACTCAAGCACTGTGCTTTCCAGCTGTGGGTCTGAAAGCAGTGATCGAAACAAGAGACCCAAAGTGAACGAGGCCCCTGTGACGGCGAGCAAGGGAAGTTGGCTTCGGCTGTTCCCCAACGAATCGGAGAAGGACTCGATAGTCTGGCTGTACCACGCCATGTTCTATCGTCTATTGTGACTGTCTATTGTATGCTCTTTAGTCTACACAAGAATAAAGGAAAGAAGGGAATGATGCAAGCCCGGTTATCCTGCCAGGCGAAACAGACGAACGAGGGGGAAGCGACCGGTGCGGTTAGGCGGTTGGCCTGAGGATACACCATCTCCATTTGGGCAAGTCATGCGATAAGCGATAAGCGGGTGATAAGGCACTGCCGAGGCTTATGGCTAGGCAGCACAGGGAATACCATTGTTTTCCCTCCATGATCTACACTAATTGTTATCCAAATGCTCATCTTTGGTCTTCATCATCTGGATCTGCTTAACTCAGCACCTACATATTATATGGGCAGTTGAACATACGAGATCTGTCTGCCAGGGAATGTTCTGCTGCTGGTACTGTTTCCTAGTAAAACGGTACTAGTATATATTATATGACTGCTATGACACCAAGTCCCGCTTACACGATACGTACAGAGCTGCAAGCATCATGGCAACCTGCTCACTGAACAGATATTTGCGAGCGAGGTTATCGGTAAGTAACCCTTCTAGTACAGCTCATACAACAGCAAAATCAAGAACGTCCATTAGAAAGTGAACACCGAAATATATCCGAAATCCGACATATACACCGAGGCTATAGTGTGCCTGCCGGAACGGGCACACGGAATCAATCCCCTTGTAGCTCGCGGAGACACTCTTGGACCGACATTAACAGGCCACCCCACTCACAAAGGCCTTGTCTGGACAGCAAGATGCTCTGATGTGGGTTGAACATCAATGCAGTCGCTGCATGATCAATCAAAGCAAGGCCGTACAATATCAGAAGAGATATTCTTGGCATCTACGCCATGTATGTCGCGGAGAATCACTCCGCACCCTCTGAAAATCCATCCGGCTAAATTACAACCATTGAATCGTTGTTGGCTTGCACGCCTCCGAACGTAATCGGGAAGCGATCTGCAAGGTACAGCGCCATATCGTGGCTTCCGTCGGCTTTGTCGGATGTCTGTGTGTGCACTCTACAACGGTTCGACTTACAGGTGACACGGCTCAGAATTACCCTGCTTAGTTGCGGAGTCAGGCAAATGAAAGGATGATGGCGCTTGGGGAAACAACTTATGTTATGGAAAAATGGGGATTTGACATGGATATGTGTGGTGAAACAGCTATGTGTCGGAGATGCTAACCGCCTGGTTCAAGCCGGAAAGGCGGGCTCTAACGGAAGCAAAGACTATAATGTTTCTTGGTTTGACGTTGACAAGCCCATCTAGGCCACCTAGTTCCGGCTTGGATGAATCAAATTTCAGCCTAGCCATCTGCTTAAATCCGAATAATTTTGGCACGTACTCGAGCTGTCATTGATGGGATGTAGCACCCCGCATTCCGAGATCGACAAAGCTAGCAGAGGACCCTGGAAATTAATCAATCCTTCATCAGGATTTGAGATGAATCGGGGGATGGCTGATACCAAACAACGCCACATGCTGCCACATCTTCATTAAGTCAGCGTTTACATGGGACATCGTTGCTCTCATGTTTCCTAAAAGGGACTGCGAATGATATTTCTTAGACAACGCGGCTAACTGAATACAGGGATCACGATTCGAAGATATTCTAAGTATCGGAAATGAAAAATAGCATTAGAGCGGACTGCACGATTGCAGTCACTTGCTACTATTCTTCATTAGAATTTGCCGGGTACAATACAGATACCTACTCGAGCTAGGATTCTAGAACCGAAGAAAAGGGCTCCAAAAACCTGTCTATTGCAAAACTTCATCAAGTTAGCAAGTAAGGCAAAGTTTCTCTGCATGCACGGCCTTGGAAAGGCTACACATGACTCAAACAGTCTTCATTGGAAGGCTCCAGTGCTTATTACATGCAGGGAACAGAAACAATTCGGAGGGCCCTCCGTGAATCCTTGAGCTCGATGAACCAATAATACACAGCGGAAGCCAAGCAGCCTGATATACTCCATCCTAGTGATAGAACCTGGGCCCACTTTCGGACATCTCTCAACACGCAGAACCCTCTTTCTGCAACATGACACTCTATTATTGTGCGTTCTTCATTTCACGGCACAGAAGAGCTTGCCTAATTTGAAACATCGGCGGACTGGCGGTCCGTTATACCGGCAAAAATGGGTGACCCTATTCTTCCGGATTGCAAGATGATATGGAATTGAATGCTGGGTGGAAATGTTATAAATAGGGAGGTTATGCCGCTGTACAGCTTGGAAATTCATCTGCCGGACAGACAACGAAATCACTAAAAGGAGACGACTAGAGTCTTATACAATTTCATTACAATGCATCAACGTGCCCTTCTCTTCTCAGCCCTGCTGACGGCTGTTCGCGCCCAGCAAGCCGGAACGCTCACGGAGGAAGTCCATCCTTCCTTGACCTGGCAGAAATGCACTTCTGAAGGCAGCTGCACTGAACAGAGTGGCTCAGTTGTCATTGACTCAAACTGGCGCTGGACCCATTCTGTCAATGACAGCACCAATTGCTACACTGGCAACACCGTGAGTTTGATTGACCCCTATGTGCTGAACTGGCTAACGCACCTAACAGTGGGATGCAACTCTCTGCCCTGATGATGAGACCTGTGCGACCAACTGCGCCCTGGACGGAGCGGACTACGAGTCCACCTACGGTGTCACCACTGACGGTGATTCATTGACACTGAAATTCGTCACTGGCTCCAATGTTGGCTCGCGGTTGTATCTCATGGACACGAGTGACGAGGGATACCAGACGTTCAACTTGCTTGACGCAGAGTTCACTTTCGACGTTGATGTGTCTAACCTCCCATGTGGGCTAAACGGCGCGTTGTACTTCACTGCAATGGACGCCGATGGTGGAGTCTCAAAATACCCCGCCAATAAGGCTGGAGCCAAGTACGGAACAGGATACTGTGACTCCCAATGCCCCCGGGACCTGAAGTTCATCGACGGACAAGTATGTAGTCCTCCGAGATTCCCTCATCGCTAGCATGCTGACCTGAATCAGGCCAACGTCGATGGCTGGGAACCTTCTAGCAACAATGACAACACAGGTATCGGCAATCACGGTTCTTGCTGCCCTGAAATGGATATCTGGGAGGCAAACAAGATCTCGACCGCATTGACACCCCATCCCTGTGACAGCAGCGAACAGACCATGTGTGAGGGTAACGACTGCGGTGGAACCTACTCGGATGATCGCTACGGAGGTACGGATACCCAAATAGGTGATCTAGGTTGATGTTTCGGCTAATTCCATTTACAGGAACCTGCGACCCTGACGGCTGCGACTTCAACCCTTATCGCATGGGCAACGACTCTTTCTACGGTCCTGGCAAGACCATCGACACCGGGTCCAAGATGACGGTTGTGACCCAGTTCATCACTGATGGCTCTGGCTCCCTCAGCGAGATCAAGCGTTACTACGTGCAGAACGGAAATGTTATAGCGAACGCTGATTCCAACATCTCTGGAGTGACTGGAAACTCGATCACAACGGACTTCTGCACTGCGCAGAAGAAGGCCTTTGGCGACGACGATATATTCGCTGAGCACAATGGACTTGCTGGAATCAGTGATGCTATGTCTTCCATGGTTCTCATCTTGAGCTTGTGGGATGATTACTATGCCAGCATGGAGTGGCTCGACAGCGACTATCCCGAGAACGCTACCGCTACCGACCCAGGTGTTGCACGCGGAACATGCGACTCGGAATCAGGCGTCCCTGCGACAGTCGAGGGGGCGCATCCCGATTCTTCGGTGACCTTCTCAAACATCAAGTTCGGTCCCATCAACTCGACCTTCAGCGCTTCCGCATAAGGTGAAGTGCAGGGTTCAGAGCCTCAATTACATCCCACAAGCCGAACACAACAGGACAGGTTCCTGGAACGGAATATGGGAAAGTTGCGGCTTGTAAATAGTCCGAAAAGTGGTCACTGCTTTTGTGTATCGGGCTGTCTTCCCATTTTATTTTCATTCACTCCAGATTGATTGATGCAGATTTTGTTTGTTGATTCTTCCACTTCGTGCTGTGACTTTATGTACCTCACTTCACATTCGCTTCTTTTCTGTTTTGAGTCCACTCAATCCAAGAGACAGTTGTTCCTTTGCTACTCCTGACCTAGTCAGCCCTGCGTAGACAGCAAGCTCTTAGTAGCCTTAAGCCTAAACTTTATAGCCAACCAACCCCGGAAGATCCGTCGGCCCGCCCTCTCCGAGACTGATCGGCTCCGCCAGCCTGCAGCTGCAAGCTCCGCAAGTCAAAAAACTACGGCATAGATTCGCCCTCGTGCAATTGCTCATTCTTCGCAATGTTCGACACCGTTTGCACCCTTCCGCTATCAGCGGACCTGTTCTCCCAGGCCCTGCATCCCAAGGAGCCCGTCGTGTCCGTGGGTCTCTCCTCCGGGCATGTCCAGACGTTCCGACTCCCCACCGACGAAGCGGCCAGCGACGACGACGAGACGTCAAATGCCTCGTCACGCAATGGCAGAGGACACATTGATACGATGTGGCGGACGAGACGCCACAAGGGTAGCTGCCGGTGCTTGACGTTTGGAATTGATGGCGAGACGCTCTATTCGGCCGGCACGGACGGGCTGATCAAGGCCGCAAAGGCGGAGACGGGAGTCGTGGAAAACAAGATCGCTATTCCTACAGAAAAGAATGGGTAGGAGATAAGCCCCTTTTATATGTGCTTGAAGGGAGGAGAGGACTCAATGGCTCATTGTATTCGCTTTTAGATCCATCGATGCTCCCACCATCATTCATGCGCTTTCCCCTCAGACCCTCCTTCTTGCGACCGATTCCAGCGCCCTCCACCTCTACGATCTCCGCATACCCTACTCCAAGGTTTCCGCGAAGCCTGAACAATCTCATCACCCTCACGACGATTATGTTTCGTCGCTTACGCCTCTTCCGGCCTCTGATACTAGCACCTCGGGGTTCAGCAAGCAATGGGTGACGACGGGTGGGACGACCCTGGCAGTTACGGATTTGCGACGGGGTGTGCTTGTTCGCAGCGAGGATCAGGAAGAGGAGTTGATCAGTTCGACGTACATTGGCGGATTGGCGGCCAGTGGCACGAGTCGCGGCGAGAAGGTGCTTGTGGGAGGTTCTGGCGGTGTTCTTACGCTTTGGGAGAAGGGCGCGTGGGATGACCAGGACGAGCGGATCTATGTGGAGCGTGGAGGAGGCGGTGGAGAGTCCCTGGAGACCATGGCTGTTCTGCCGGATGAGTTGGGTAAGGGCAAGGTGGTCGCTGTTGGTCTGGGAAATGGTCGGGTCAAGTTCGTGCGGATCGGCGCTAACAAGGTTGCCGCGGAGGTTATGCATGATGAGACTGAGGGCGTGATTGGCCTCGGCTTTGATGTTGAGGGGCGCATGGTTACTGGTGGTGGACAGGTGGTGAAGGTTTGGCATGAGGCTGTTGTTGGCGCTGATAGGTACGGGGCGATGCCGGGGGAGAAGCGCATGTATGGAGACAGTGACGATAGCGATGGTGACGACAGTGACGAGGACTCGGATGATAGCGATGCCGGTGGCCGCCAGGACAAGTCGCAGAACAAGCGCAAGAAGACGAAAGCCAAGGGCAAGGGCGGGCAGCAAATTATGGCTTTCCATGACTTGGATTAAATGGAATCGAGTGTGGTTTATTGATACCCTAAGCGGGAGGTTGTTATGCATAGCATTGGTGTCGGGAAAATAAAAACAGGGAGTGTGCTTTGCAGATACGTACTCAATGATGCTAATATCTCTAGATAATTGAGCTTCAGCCATATTGTCACCCAGTTTATCTAAATTCAGTGTGCTTCGCATCGTAGCTGAGCAGAACTAGTGGATCCCGCAATCTTGCTCCATTCCCTAGAAATCCAGGTACAAAGAACTGCGGAAGCGAACAGCCTTGTCGGCTACCAGTTCAAGACTAGCTAGCAGCTTCATCTGTTCATAAATTAATTGCTATATTAGACTGTCTTGGCAGCAGGGAAAAGCAACATTAGAAATGGTAATAAGCGCCAACTAGCAGATAACCCATCTCACTTAAGACAAGCTATCTCCCCATACTCTTCCATCGTCATCATCATCATACATCCCTCCACCGCAATGCCAGGAACCATCCTCCTCACCGGAGCCAACAGCTCCCTCGCCATCCCAGCAGTCCACCACTTCCTCACCAAATACCCAGACTACACTCTCGTCCTCACCGTTCGCAACCCCTCCACTTCCGACCCCAACACCAAGCGTCTCAACGACACCATCACACCCTTCCCCAGTCCAAGTACCTCAATCCGAAAGCTAGATCTCTCCAACCTCTCCGAAGTATCGACCTTCGCGCAGACCCTAGCAACTGAAATATCCAATGGCACACTTCCTCCATTAGCAAGCATCATCTGCAATGCATACTACTGGAACCTCGCCAGCGAAGTCGAAACAACCGCCGACGAATTGGACAAGACCTTCCAGGTAAACCATATCGCTCACGCCTCGTTAGTGCTACGTCTGCTAGGCTCATTCGCGCCTGATTCTGGCCGGGTTGTTCTCTTCGGCAGTGATGCCCATTGGCCCGGTAAGAATGGGTTGGAGAAGTATCCGCCTACCATTCCAGAGGATTTGGAGGTGCTGGTGAAACCGACTAAGAAGGCGGGTGAGGATGTTAGGGGGAAGGGGTTCTATCAGTATGCAGTGTCGAAGCTGGCGATTATTATGTGGATGTATGCGTTGAATGGGCAGTTGATCAAGGTATAATATCTTCCCCACTTTGCTTTGCTTCGAGTAAGTAGCAGACTTTGGTAGCTGTACTAACATTGGGATTAACTTCAGGACGACAACCTAAAGCACATCAAGGCTGTAGCTATCAATCCAGGCAACCTGAGTGATTCTCGCGCTCTCCGCACCAACACGCCGCTGATTCTTAGGATCATCTCCCGCCTCATTATCCAGCCGCTCCGGCCGCTGTTGAGACTGCTTGACCCGACTATGCGCACGGCTACGGAGGCCGGGGAGGATGTGGTCGAGCTGGCTGTGGGTGAGAAATATGCGGGGGAGGCAGGGTACTTTACGCTTTTGAAAAAGGATGAGAGTTCGCCTGAGAGTCAGGATGGAGAGAAGCAGGGGAAGATCTGGAAGAAGACGTTGGAGTGGGCGCAGGTTAGCCCTAAGGATACGGTGTTGAAGCTTGAGTAGAGGGCATTTACTTACCGGTGCAAGACAACTATAACACTGTGCTATAACTATTACAATAGTTCTTTAATAAAGATCTTTTGCTCAAAGAATTAAACACTGAATATATCTAACACTGAGGTTAATTCGCGTTCTAATGCAAGCAGTATAGTATCGGCATGAACAACAGCCAACTGCCGAGCCCCTCCGCGGGCGACCCACGGCAAAGGCCTTTGCCCCAATAACTTCATGACGTTCCCTCCGGATCGGTGGGGTGTGGGGGATTATTCATGATGATCAAGCTTCGTCGGCTGTTCGGGTTCCTAGTATTCCAATTCATGGGTCGATCTAGGCAAAGATATATACCGATCCTAATTCTCATATGAGTCTCCCTCCCCGCTATCCTCAATCACTTTCCCCTCATCTACAACTCCATACACTACTCCAACCACAGCCACCACCATGGACTCCTTCGAATACAACGCCAACCCCGGCCGAGTCATCTTCGGCAGCGGCACATTGAAGAAGCTCCCCGACGAGCTCGCCCGCCAGAACCTCAAAGCACCTCTCCTCCTCTCGACCCCGCAGCAAGTCTCCCAAGCCGAGAATGTCAAAACCGTCCTGAACGGCCAAGTGGCCGGCATCTTCACCGAAGCTACCATGCACACTCCCACTCACATCACCGACAAGGCATTGGAATACGCAAAAGCCCAAAGTGCCGACTGCGTCGTCTCCATCGGCGGTGGTAGCACCATCGGCCTAGGAAAGGCCATCAGCATCCGCACCGGCCTGCCGCACATCTGTATCCCGACCACCTATGCGGGCAGTGAGATGACCCCCATTCTGGGTGAAACGGCAGACGGATTGAAGAAGACGCGCTCCGACCCGAAGATTCTCCCGGGGACTGTGATCTACGATGTGGACCTGACTATGACCTTGCCGGTGGCCATGAGTGCGACGAGCGGTGTCAATGCCATCGCGCATGCGGGTTAGTCCTACCCACTACATTCTTTTCTCTCTACATTCCATACTAGAAACAAAGCTAATCCAGTGAACCAACAGTGGAAGCTCTCTACGCGCGCAACACCAACCCCGTGATCAACCTAATGGCCCTGGAAGGCACACGCGCCCTCGCCTCCTCCCTCCCCGAAATTGTCCAGAACCCCAGCTCCCCCTCCGCGCGCTCTTCCGCCCAATACGGTGCCTGGCTCTGCGGTACCTGTCTTGGCAGCGTAGGCATGTCCATCCACCACAAGCTCTGCCACACCCTCGGCGGAAGCTTCAACCTGCCCCACGCAGAGACGCACACGGCGGTGCTCCCGCACGCTATCTCCTACAATGCGCCGAAGATCCCCGAGGCCATGAAGAAGTTGGCCGAGGCGCTGCCGGAGAGTAACGGGGATGCGATCCACGGGCTGAATGTCCTGTTGGAGAAGTTGCAGGTTAAGCGTGGATTGAAGGACTTTGGTATGAAGGAGGAGGATATTGATAAGGCGGCGGATATTGCGGTTAGTAACCCGTACTGGAACCCTAGGGAGATCCAGCGTGAGCCGATCCGGGAATTGATTCGGAGGGTGTGGGCTGGGGAGCCGGCGAGGGCGGATTTGTAGATTAGGTTTTCAGGGAGGGGTATTGTATGTAAATAGCAGGTATGTAGAGTTTACATCTCTATCTAGATGTGGAATACGTGTACATTCTACATATACACTTTCCGATAAATTAACAATCCTATTTTTCTACATTGTAATATGGCACCATAACCAACCTCAGTAATCCATCCCACCGCGATTGGCCCTCGCTCTTTTCCGCGAGCGAGCGAGTGGATGGCGGGGTGAAAGTGGGGGGATAGTGCCCGCCAGATGAAAATCAACCCGAAATTTGCAACCATCCCACTTTTCCACACCCTCAAGTGAGTTCCAAACTTCACTACTACACCACAAATCTACACATTCAATCCATTATACTTCCCCCCCACCATGGGCGCCGATATGGAGGCCGCCCCGGTCCTCTCCACCCCGGACGACCGCATCCTCGAAGCCACCGACCCCGTCCCGAACCGCAGTCCCGTCTCCGACGAAGAAATCGCCATCACCTATGACATTGAACGCACGCTCAAGGAGATCCGCCAGGCGCGGTATAAGCGCATTGCGCTGCAGTTTCCGGATGATATGCTCCCGGATGCGCCGAGGGTGTTCCAGCTTCTTAGTCGGGGATTGGATACTACGCGAGAGGGTGCCCGTGGTCAGAGTGCGGGGACGGAAGAAGGTGCAGGAGAAGGGGAGAAGAAGGATCTGGCAGAGTCGGTGGCTCAGTTGAAGGTGGACGAGGCTGAGCCTGCGCCCAGGTTGTATATCCTGGCAGATACTTCCTACGGAACTTGTTGCGTGGATGAGGTGGCGGCTGAGCATGTGGATGCCGATGTGGTCGTGCATTACGGCCGGTCGTGTTTGTCGCCGACGGCCAGACTCCCTGTGATTTATGTGTTTACGCATAAGGAGTTGGCGTTGGAGAAGGTCGTGCGTGCGTTCAAGGAGACGTATCCGGAGCTGGATACGAAGGTTATTCTGGCGGCTGATGTGACTTACTGTGATCACGTCCCCGCAGTGTATGAGGCTCTGGTGAAGGAGGGGTATACGAATCTGTTTGCGACGGAGGTGCTTCATGACCCTTCATCTGCTATTCCGAACCGCACGGTGCCGGAGACGGTGCGCGAGAGCCCCGAGTCTCTGGCTGAGTGGCAGCTTTTTCACATCTCTGATCCGCCTACTGCGCTACTTCTCACCCTTGCTTCTCGCGTGGCGGCTATCTATATCTATCCTACGGATAAGCCGGGCCAGGATGTTAAGCCCCTGCCCGCGTCCACGGCCGCCGCCTTGCGCCGTCGCTATGCTATCCTGACGTCCTTGAATACCGCCCCGATCTTTGGTATCCTGGTCAACACGTTGAGTGTGAAGAATTACCTGCATATTGTGGATCATGTTCGGGAACGGATCGCGGCGGCCGGGAAGAAGAGTTATTTGTTTGTGGTGGGCAAGCTGAACGCGGCTAAGGTGGCTAACTTCAGCGAGATCGGCGGCTGGGTGGTCATTGGATGCTGGGAAAGCTCCCTCGTTGATAGTCGGGATTTCTGGAAACCGGTTATCACGCCGTTTGAGTTGGAGCTTACCCTGAAGGGGGATACGGAGCGGGTCTGGACGGGAGCCTGGCAGAGTGATTTCCAGACTGTCCTGGATCAGTCCGCTGCTGAGGCAGAGAATGGAGATGCGTCGACGAACGGTGCCGCGCCCGGGGAGGATGAGGATGAGATGTCCGAGCCCGATTCGGCTCCGCCAGAATTCGACTTGCGCACTGGCCGGTATGTCTCGCATTCCCGGCCCATGCGAAACCCTGCACCCCGCGTTTCTGCCTCAGGAGAAGAGGGTGCTGCCTCGTCAGCATCAGCTGGAGGCCCATCGGCAGCGCGAGCCCTGGCCAGACGAGCCAAAGGGGATCTGGCGATGATCGGCGGGACCATCTCCCCTGGAGCGGAATTCCTTCGGTCGCAACGGACGTGGAAGGGGCTGGGCAGTGATTTCGACATCCAGTACGAGGAGGAGGAGGAGGACGCGAAGGATAGCACACTGGTAGTGGAAGGGCGCAAGGGTATTGCAAGGGGATATACGGTAGGAGAAACAATAGAGCGACACTAGTTCAGGCCGCCCTCGCTCCCCTGGCGTTCGGAGAATCGGATTGTTGGGCGCGACCGTTGAACAGGGTGGAAGTATGGGAACGAGTAGGGGGTGGACAAGGCAAAGCCTAGTCAGGTGAAACTAGTGGTCTGCTATTTTCTATGCAATGATGGATCGTTTTTGTGCCCTACTGATGCTGGTACTGCCCAAAGCGGATGCCGAGTTTAGTGGTTGTGGTTGTGGTGGTTTGGATCGTCGGGGGGGAACAACACCACGCAGCTAGCAGCAGATAGTGGAAAGAAATCAAGAGGGATGAATTCAATATTCAATAAACACACCGGGGCGAATCACTAGTGAAAGTTGAGACCCGTCAGGCCACACACTCCGGTGACCAAACGTATATCGTCATAGGATTAAGTCTAATCCCATCATCAACATCATCAGCAGCAAGCAACAACACAAAAGAGTGGCATCCCAACGGGGCCAAGGCGACCTATCACATGATTGCCGGCCTCCCGCTGGATTTTTGTTGCCCATCGCCAATTCTGAGCTGAGTTGTCCAAGCCACCCCCAATCGGTTTGCTGTAACTTGTTTCTCCCTCCTCTTCCCTCCGACTCTCCCTCCATTCTACTCCTCCCTCCCGTGGATGGCCACAGCTCATGTCCAACATTTGGGTGTAATCCGCCCTCCTTGCGCATGCTCTCCTTCCTGGTTCCCTTATGATGTGCGGCCCTCTCCCGCATTCTCCGCTGTGCTCGCGATCTCGCGTCACTCTAACCTTCAGCTTCCTTCCAGGGGAGTGAAATCAAAAGGGAAAAGAAAAAGGCTGTTGAAGAAGCAAAGGGTTCCGCCATCCGGTTCGGATCGTCATGCCATCCGTATCTCATACTCCGGGAGTGCCCGCTATCGATCATCGATCGGGCCCTGAGTCGACTACTACTACTACTACTACTACTACTACTACTATTACTGCAGCCATGGCCGGCAAGCCCAGCGGAGACCAACAACAGCAAGACCTGGTGGACTCCGCTCTCGAACACTCCGTCCTTCCGGCCCAACATCCGCTATCCACCTTCGAACTCGTTGTCACTACCAATGCCCCCATCCTCGAATCTCTCCTCTTGCAGACTCCCACCGAGGCCATCCTGAGCCTCTACCATACCTCCCGCTACCTCCGATCATTCCTCCGCTCTTATCCGACAGCATGGAAATACCTCTCTTTTCGGCTCCTCTACCCATCTGGCACCCCGCCGCCCCTCCGGGTTGTCTTCACCGGCTCCTCCGAGACCGTCATCCCGCGCCAGTCCCGCCCGTATGCACTCGACCAGCTGTTGATGAACGTGGTGATTCCGTTCAGTCCGTGCTTGCGCAGTCTAGAGCTGGATAACACAGCTGTGTCGGGGCAGATTCTGATGTCGACGGTATTACATTCGCGACGCGAGACCTTGGAACATCTCTCCGTACGAGGCTGCAAGAACGTGTCGCTCAAGTACCACATCATCCCGTATCTCACGATGTTTGGCCTCCAGTATGATGTCAATATGGAGCAGAACATCGGGAGTTCGCCGGATACGAAGCATCTTGCACTAAAGAGTCTTTACACGTATCGCTGTCGACATCATCGACGACGGCCGTATCTGACTTCCTCCTTGTCGCGAAAAGACTCCGACTCCGAACCCACACATGAACTGGTCAATCTCTGCCATAAGCTGGGCATCTGGACGGATACCGCATGGTGCTCGACTCCTGCGGGGAGATGTTTCCGGAGGCGGGGCTACGTGTCTATGCGTGTTCCACAGGGGTCGGCGGAGGTGTGGGTGGTGTTTGATCGGCTGTGGAGGTCGAAGAACTGGATTGGTCCGGTAGACCAGGCGAACCGTCCAGCCCAGCGGGATGCGAAGCTGTGGGAACACAGTGAGACCGGCTATTACGGCGAGGCTTTGGGGACTGGAGAGGGTGGAGACCATGGAGAGGGGAAGATGCTACCGGCACATTTGCGACGGAGCCATACACAGTTCGTGGAGAATATCCGCTGCGACAACTGCTGCGAGTTGATTCCTGAACGATGCGAGCAATGCAGTATATTGATGCACTGTGTTGGATGTCGAAAGACTCTATGTGCTAGCTGTGCTTATGAACGGCCTTATCTGCACTGCCGGCCTCGATCGGCTTCCAAGGACAGTCCATACTGGTGGGCTCCTGGAGCTACCATGTCGCCATGTTCTATGCAAGACCCTGTCGAAGATTCCGAAAACACTACTGGAGCCAACAACGCAACTCCCTCCTATCCCGCTCTTACGTTCCATTGGTGCTGCACTGAGCCAATCTTTTCTGGCGGCGGCGGCATCAGTATTGGCACACCGAACCGCGATGTGGACCAGGTACGAGCCGTGCCTCTGCCTCGAGGACAAGGATGGGAGGACTTGGAGTACTCGGCACAGGAATGGAGCAAAACGTTCCCGCGGGACGCCTACGGAGACCCTCGCAAGCCCGACTACACGCTGGAAACCGGACATATCGCCATGATGCGGTGGCTACTTGGCCCGCCCGACCGACAGCCTGCAGCTTGTCCGCGCAATCTATGTCAGGACTGCTACGACACACCTCAGTGGAAGGTCCACTGCAAGAGCTGCTCGAAGCCGCTGTGTATCGAGCATGATCTACGGGGACTCCGCTTGAGAATTTGTGGGTACCGGGATCTGACGCTGGAAAAGCTGGCGATCCAGAACCACGCCGAGACCGGCTCTCGCGGGTTTGCATCGCGGGTGCCCTACACGAATTCCGTGCCAGAGTTCGAGCTGCCGTATCGGACGCAGCGGATCCTTGATTCAACTACAAGCAGTTTTACCGAGGACAACCAAGAGGTCTTTCCCGAGGCGAGCAGTAGCGCGTTCGACCATCCTCGACCCACGCCTTTGGTTCACCGCCGCTCGCGGAGCCTCTCCATCTCCAATTCCAACCGTTCACGCTCATCCTCGCCATCCTCGGTCTACTGCGACTCGCCGTCCGACCAGCCCAGATGGCAAGGATGTCAGTCCTTTTTCTGTCCGCAGTACCGAGCGGTCGGTGACCAGCGACAGCGGTGCTCCAGCGTTCTCCGCGAGTGCACCAGTTGCTCGGTGTACGTATGCGAGGACTGCACCATCGCCTTCCCGCCGTGCAACTGCTCCTATTGCGAAGTCAATTACCTGTGCCCGAACTGCCTGAAGATGCGGGAGCGAGACGGGACCTGCCGCCGGCCGGCAGAAGAAAAGGCCCGTCGGGAACGCAAATGGAAAGAGGACATGCGTCTGCTGGAGGGCATCGTGCAGGACAAGCTAGCGAACAAAATGGCAAACAAGATGGCCGAGTATGCCGGCGAGTTCTTCGACGTCATCGAGCGGGAGGAATCCGGCGAGGTGCAGCATATCGAAGAAGCCTCGACGTATCCTGGACCGGTGGCAGAGGATCTAGGCGAGGAGATATTAACGGACAGTACGGAATGAGATAAAATATGGCTGGCAGGGATCTACGGGCGTCGAGGATGGGTGGACTGATGATTATTTTCGGAGTTATTCTACATCTGGGCCTGCAGATATTAAGCAGCGTGCATAGCAAATGATACTGTTCGGGTTGCCCTGATGCGCCGGGCGCTGAGGGTTATCCTGTTGTCCCGGGAGGACAGAAGAGAACCTGTGGGTCATTGATGGAGGAAAATGTATGTAATAAAATAATGACATACGATATCCTACCATTACCTCAATGATACTGTTTATTGTAGTCGCGTAGTGTCTATCGACTACACCGTAAACGCAGTAGAAAGTTGCCCCGCACGCGGAAGCTTCCAGCCATCCAGCCAGTCCCCACCATATCTGTAATTCCCTCCAATTCTCCCAAACAATCTCCATCCCCTCACGCTCTACAATCCCTCACAACCAAGTACGTCCCCAACTTTCCCCCAAGTTAACCCATATCACCACTAACACACCCTCAACAGCAAAATGGCCGACGAACAACCCCCCAACCCCGCCGAGCTCGCCCGCCGCGAGGAAGAAGAATCCGCCCGCAAAGCCCGCGAAGCCGCCGAACAAGCCCAACTGCCCTACAAATGGACCCAAACGATCCGCGACGTGGAGGTGACAATCCCGGTGGCATCGAATATCCGCGGTCGGGATCTAGATGTTGTGCTCACGAAGACGAAAATCCGCGTTGCAATCAAGGGGCAGGAAGCTTTTATTGACGTACATAACCCCACTCTACAACTCTCTCTTACGACAATACTAACATAGTAATGGGGAATTTTTAGGGCGAGTTCCCTCATCCAGTAATCCCCGACGAATGCTCCTGGACCCTTGAATCGACATCGAAGCCGCCCGGCAAGGAAATCTCGATCCACTTGGACAAGGTGAACAAGGTGGAGTGGTGGGCGCATGTTGTTACGAGTGCGCCGAAGATCGACGTTACGAAAATTACGCCGGAGAACTCGTCGCTGAGTGAGTTGGATGGCGAGACGAGAGCAATGGTCGAGAAGATGATGTATGATCAGAGGCAGAAGGAGATGGGTGGGTTGACGAGTGATGAGCAGAAGAAGAGGGATATTTTGAAGAAGTTTCAGGAGGAACATCCTGGTTAGTATTCTTCCCTTTCTTTTTTTTTTTTTTGCCACTATAGGTGGGGGGTGAGGTGAGGCTAATGTGGTGTGTCTGTGCAGAGATGGATTTCTCGAATGCGAAGATTGGTTAGGTATATAAGTAGTGGTATATGAATTATGATGGTGTTTAAAGTGTATATTTTATGTTATGGTGGTGGAATATAGCTGGCTTCCGCATTAGGATTAGTCTGGTCAGGCACTCCCGTGAGGCTGCTCTCATCGTCATATGTCTTGAGTCTGTCTGTCTTACTGTCTTGTTCTCTTCATTCTTCGTGATTGCATGGTTGCAAGCTATGCACATTCATGGAACGTAGCAAGGACTAGCAATACTTGGTGGCTGCCATGCAGTCTGTCCTCCAGCTTCGTCCTTCTCCCCGTACTTTTCATCCCCGACGCCCGCATCGCAAATCCCGCGCTGGCTGCCTCGTTTGCAAGCAGCGACGAGTCAAGGTATTCCCTCTTTACTCTTCTAGTCGATATCCTCTCTGATCGCCTTCTTCCTTAACGACAGTGCGACGAGGAGAAACCATCCTGTCACCGATGCCAAAAACTCGGGTTCGACTGCAGCTATGAGCCCGAGACCAAAGACAGCGTCAGCGTCTTCCTTGCGAGCCCGCCCGATTCAAAAGCGTACTGCATGTCGGTGGACACCGTGACCAAGAAGATCAACGAGATCCTGCAGTTGGATTCAAAAAGCGGCCCATTGCCTGTAGTGCAGGCATTGCAGCACTTCCACCATGGCCTAACGAACCCGGCGCTCGGGCCGGGACGCGCTCAATCCGCTATGCAGGCGAAAATCATCCAGCTAGGGTTTAATGTATGCTCTTGACTTCATCTTACTAAGGAGGACTGCTGCTGACAATAAAGTCACCTTTCCTTCTGCATACCATCATTGCAGCAGCAACTTCGCATATCCGCCACATGGCTTCGGATGGTCGCGTCTATACCCTGACGGAAACTTACCACTGGCAGCAGGCTATCACCCAGTATTCTCAGGAAATTACCACCATCGGCCCGAAGAACACGGATAGTCTCATTTCGGCGTGCTTGCTATTGACTATTCGCTCCTTTGCTCTAGATGAATACGACCCGCTCAGCTCGTTTGTCTTCTCAGACGATATTACCTCCCTGAGCTGGCTGACACTGCAAGGGGGCTTGCGCCATCTGATCATGGCGACGGCGCAGTGGAAAGCTGGCAGTATGTGGTGGGAGGTTTTCATGAAGTCTCATGCTGAGACGGCGGATTTCTTTGAGGATGATCGTCCTGGCCGGGTGGCTATTCATCCAGGGCTAGCAGATCTATGTGGTATCGATGACACGACCACCGCAAAGACGAGCCCGTATCATGCGCCAGCACGAATATTGACAGGACTGCTGTCGCTGGAGCGAGGAGTCCGGAGTTTTGCACCGTACACGGGATTCATGGGGAGACTGCTACCTGAGTTCTTTGCTAAGTTGATGCAGAAAGATCCACCGGCATTGATACTGCTGAGTTGGTGGTTGGGCTTAATGTATGGGACGGAGATGTATTGGGTCGAAACACGAGCGATATCAGAAATTACGGCGATAACGTGGTATCTGGGGGAGGGATGGGAGGAGTTTATGAGGTTTCCAAGGGAGTGTATAGAGGACTACGAGAATGCTTGCATACCAGAATGAACTGGAATGATGCTATCTTATCCGCTTATCGATAAAGTTCAGGCCAGGAGCGGGGAACTCCACCAATCAGCGATGCGGGGAACGTAGATGCCTGGATGCTGAGGCGCAGCCTCGTCGTGACTTTTGACTTTCTTTCCTTCGTTCATTCTCGTAGACATCACCTTTCAATCAGGGACACGTAGTCTCTGCATCGCATTGACGTGCTCCGGTGTCTCAATCAACCTTCTTCCACTTTGCCCCTCCACCACCACCATCGACACCCGTCTCACAACGGGTGGACTCGGAGTCAGGAACATCTACAGCAGACTCACCACCTCACTCCAACAACTGCACACGAACATCTCCTCCATAACTGTACCAAGACCAAGAACAGCAACAATGCTCTCAACCCTCCTCGCATCCCTCTGTCCATGCTCCTGCACCAGTCCCAGCCCTCCCTCACCACCACCAGCTCCGACAACCACATCCACCCAATACCACCACCACAATGACCTATCCCAATACCAACCTCCCCTCGAACCTTCCCTCCCAGCCTACACCCCTCACCCAAACATCCAAGACCTAAACGAAAAGACCCTCGCCCTGCACCTCCGCGACCCGCCCATCTCTTCATCTTCCTACAATGCCACCAACAGCAACAATTCCTTCCCCCTCGACGAAAAACACCCCTACACTACTACCACCACCCCACAAACATCAGAGAATAATGCTGCTGCAACAACAGCAGATGACGCATCCTCTCAAATCTCCTTCCCTAGCACAACCCACAGCTACGGGAACACCTCCACCGCGACGAGAGAGACGCCTCCTCCGCCGTATTCGCCGACGTGGAGGGGCCATGCAGAAGGGGAGGTCGAGGGGGTGATATCGCCGGTGCCGTCGTTGAGTTTCTCGGGCGATGGGGAGAGGTCCAGGTCTGTGTCGATGTCGGGGAGGAGTAGTGGGAGTTGGGGAGATGGTGTTGACGGGGAGGGGGATGGGGAGAATGTGAGAATTGCGGTGCCGAGGGGAGTGTATGTTGCGGGGGGTGGGAGGAGGTGGGGAGATGAAGGGAGTGTTGGGGAAGAGTATTATGGGTATGGTGATATGAGGAGGGTGAGTTATGAGAGTGAGAGGAGTGGTGGTGGTGGGAGGAGGGGGTCGTGGGTTGTGTAGAGATTCATAGCTGTTTGTTATGGCTTTCGGTGCGTTGGTTTGGTTTGTTTGCTTGGGGTTTGGAGTTTTTCTGGGATGTAAATATGGGTCCTATCGATGGAAGTGCCTTATAAGGCTTAATGTGGATATTTCTATTAGGCTATGTGTGGATGAGATACGAGTAAATGATATATAATATACTCAATTATCTCTGATAGGTATATGCAATATCAAAGTTTACTTGGTATCTGATAGTCGAATTGCTTGCCACCTAACTATCTCACTCAATCAACCCCAGGTTGATCTCTGACACCCCCAATACAAAACGTGTATAAACACAATTTAGAAGAAGAAAAGAACAATGTCTCACCACTTCCACCTTAAGAGCTCTGGTAAGTCACCTTCAGCTCCGAGTCACTAACAACACTAGGCACAGCCTGGACATGATCACTAGTGCTATCCTCAACAGCCATCAAAGACGAGCCATCAAGGCCAATAGTCTTTCCACCAGCCTTAGCAACACAGCCCGTGAAAGTAGCCTCACCGAAGTTAATGAAGGTCAAGCCGTCACCATCGATAGCCAAGTCCTCAACGATCCATTCAGCAGTTTGACCGACCAGAGTCGACGAGCTATCCGGGGCCGTAGCAGTGGACGTAACGTTCTTGCCGGTAGTCAAGTTCTCAATGAGGGCAGTTCCCTCACTGCTGGAGGTTGACTCGACCGAGACGACAATCACATCACCGATGCTGAATTCCATGTCAAGGCCGACAGTGTCAGCAGGGTACCACTCCGACCAGCCGAGGAAGGTGGTCTCGCCGTTCTGGACGTAGATGTCCACACCGGCCTGCCAGATCTGGTTCTGGCCCGTGGCACCATCAATGCCGACCCAGAAGGAGACGGCCTGGTCGTCCGAAGAGGAAGAGGCCGCGGTGGGAGTCACGCTGGGGAGGGTGAAGGTGGCAGCCACGTAGGAGAAGGTAGCGGTGCCGCTGGTTTCTTGAACGGCACCGGCCCAGTTCTCGTTGACTTCGTAGTTGTCCGACGAGGTGGAGCTGCTCTTGTGGTTGGTGCTAACGGCGGAGGTCACGGCGGGAGCGACTTGGCTGGCGACACTGGGTTGAGGGGTGAATTGCGCCTGAGGGATGGCTTGGGTTTGGTAGCCATTGCCGCTGGGCTGGATGCTGGGCTGGGGCACGGCCTGACCTTGACCTTGGCCTTGTCCAGGGGCATTGAAGCCCTGGTTGCCGGTGCCGGGGAAGTTTTGGGAGGAGCCAAATTGCTGACGGGCGTGGCCGTGGGGACCGGCCAGGGCAGGAGCAGCCAGGAGGGCTGACAGAGCCAGAGTAGAGGTGAACTTCATATTGGTGGTGGTGAGACAAAGGAAATCTTGTAAAAGAATGAACTGAGCACTGCTCGGGTGATCGTATGAGTGGCTATACAGATACCGGATCTGGGCTGATGAAAGAAGAAGGGTAGGGAGGATGCTGAGGCTTTATAGTCAACTGCATGATGATTGACTCTGCCGTTGGGCTATTCGAAGCTGTTAGTGGTTTAGACTTGAAACGCGGTGCCGCAGCTGGTGGAGTCACGGAGATTGACGTTTGTTATAGATGAACTTCGGTGTTTCATGGTGGATGTTGCAGGCGCATTCGGCAGTGATGTGCGGTCGGGCCACTGCTAGCTTTATAGGGCGATAGCTTAACGGATTAAAGCTCCAAGGGGTTCTTGGCTGTTGTCTAATCACCATTCAGCTTGAATATGTGGAGTCATCTCGTCGGCGTAGATACTCCAAGGGGTGAGATGTGAATCAGGGGTAACAGGTGGACCTTGAATCTTTCCGTCTGCCCTATGTAGCGGATAACACTATGCTGGATCAAGCCATGATCAGTACTCGTATTCCGGAGTTCTTGGTCCAAATGCACAACGGCACGTAGACCGATCAGTATTGCAGTCATCAGGGGAAATGGCTAACTTTCAGATCTTCTACTCCTGAACATAGTATAGTTCACGTAAATTGAATATCCGGTTGATTGGGATTGCCTTGACAGTACCGACCAGGCATTAGGTGGATTACGAATGATTAACTTGTCATGCAACCTGTGTTTGAGGTTATTCTGATGCCTTTTCAGTGGATCCTTTGCGCGAGAGGGTTCATCTATGTCGGCATCTTGAAATCCGCTTACATAAATCAAGAGCATGGTGCTTGAAGGTAGCCTGGCTATAGCCAATCTAGAATCTTTGGTAAATCAAGCACAATGCTGAACACGATGTTGATCTCACTGTCATGGATAAATATTTCAGCATCATCAATAGCTTGACGATGGAAACGGTCGTCTTCGGAGGCGCCCAGTGATGCACAAATCCAAAGTGAAGAAGATCAAGCGACCGGCGCATTGATGTTTAACAATCAAAGGCATTTGCAATTAGTCCAGGTGATGTCGACATTCACAATACAAGCTTATGGCACTCTCACTGCAAGCAAAATGAAGTTCCTCAATGAAGTCGAAGCAGTAGTCCTGGACCTCCTCTCAATTGGGTACTCAGAAATCGTAGGTGTTCATACTTCCATAATTGACGACAACTGGCGTATGGGTCATGGCATTGTAGCAGCCAGATATCCACCTGCAGACAGCTTATCTCATGAGTACGATCGATGAGAACATCCGAAGTATAATGATTTGGTATCAGATTTCCGTATTGGCCATTCGCACTCGAGGACCTTCCTGCATTGTCACCGCCGCAATGTTCCTTCGGACTGTAGCTTCACATTGTTAAGTATAGGGACCCAGCATTCAACCACTGGTACAGTCGTCTCCATAGCTGGAATACTTATGAAGAGTTCGGCGTCCCACTGTGTCACCAGAATGGTTTGACGGCGCCGTCTTCACTTGAATTTGACGATCACTCCTGTATGGAGTATTCCGAATGGAACCTGTTCGGAATCATACACCTCTAGGGTCTCACTCAATGGATGTTAATCTTCTTGAAAAGCTGCTTGGCAGCTGTAACATCAGGTCTAGGAATCATCACATCTGGTCGTGGATATGAAAGATGTAAGCCGTGTAGGAAGCTGTCCAAGTGAATTGAGAAAGAAGCGCGACGCGCGATCAGGCAGCAAGATGTTTCTGCCTGAGGACCAACATCACGTGTGGGCTGGACCAATTGGGGAGCCCATCGCGGTGGATGAGTGTACGACCTCATGATCATCTTCCCTCTACTTATTCACCAGGCCCGTGCCTCTCACCATCGCATCGGTCTATAAGTTGTCACATCATACAGAAGTGTGGTCTGTATTCATGACTCGCCGTGGGTGTATCGTGGTCTGAGCCTGCGGGGCATTCAACCGGCGACCCGTAGCGACGATCGCCGCCTATTGCAACCATCCAGCGATATCCCTTCTTGTGAGTATCATAACACACTGCTATGTATACTAATTAATGCTGACGCAATATCACAGTCTGTGATGCAGTGCATCCTCCCTGAAAATGGATTCGAAAGCCACTCTGGGCAGTATCCAGAAAGCCGTCTGGGCCGGAAAGCTGCCCTTACATATCACCTTGGCCCCATCAGAGAGCCGTACATTTGACCAGACAGATCCATACCTAGTACGTCCTCTTCTAGTACCTGATGAACTAGAGCTAACTCACTCAGATCTCCTGTCCTCGCATATCATACTTACCATCGCTTCTCCCAAGGCTGAGAGCTTTCTTCGCCCCCTCCTTAATTGACCCCAGTTCCCGCCCGCACGAAGGCTGGTTCTCCTTCGAAGGCGTTCCGTTGAAATGGCACTACCCAGTTGGCCTCCTTTATGACCTTTATGCCGGAGCAGATCCTGCCTCTAAAGGTGGTGCTGAAACTGACTTGGTATCCACAACGGATGAAGACCCGTTACCATGGCGTCTAGTCGTGCATTTCAGCGACTGGCCTGATGAAGAACTCGTCCGACTTGATGCAGATGGGATAGTGATGCACGATGCTTTTATCAATAGTGTCAAAGAAGCAGATTTCCTGAGGAATGGTACCGCCAAAGGAATCATGACCCTTTCCAGGGAGGATTCGGCGGGGCTTTGGGAGTCAGTGAGAGATGGTACGTTATTCCATTCACTTGGACTTGAACAAAGAGGGAAGTGCTTACCATGCACCCAGTGGACCTTTCAAACTTCCAGCGAATATCCAACATTCTCCTACCACCCCAGTCACAACCGTTCCGCAACATCCCTGTCCGGTTCTTTCTCCCCCTTCCCCCGGACTCAGACTCGCCCTCTCTCAAAGTAGTCCAGTCTCCTATTCCACCAACCATTCAGCCAACATCCGGACCCGGCGCCAGTGTCATGGCAAGTCAATCCATATTGAGTACGTCCAGGGGCCCTCAACCGCAGACCATAGGGTCAGCACTGCACTCACTACTACCGCATTTATTTCCTAGTCGGAGGACCCCTGTCCTGGCGAAGCCTGTACTGCATGGTGCCGCGGTGCCAATGGGTGCACCACTAGACGAAGTGGTAAGGTGTTCAGGGTATGGCGACGGGTGGCTTTACATTGTAATCAGGATGATGGGATAGTATAGAGTCGTCTCATTGACAAGTGGTGCGCCGTAACTAGCCTGGCATTGCTGTTAGATAGCGTTGATCTTCTCTAATGCCAACTTCAATATACCGCAAAACTCTTTGACATCTTGTGCGAGCCCTCTTATGATTTTCTTCTTATTGTGACGAGCAAGACGACCTGAGAAATCATTTTGAGGTTATGGCCCTTGCTCTTCTATTCTGTCCCTGCGAATCGTGGCACCATCATGCAGTAGTAACCGGAAACCCTCAGGTAACCCCAAAAACACAGGCAAAATAGAAACAACCCACCTTTCCCAATGTAGACCTCTCCAAATTAACCTCCCTTAAGCACTCCGTAAAAGGAACAAATTCTCCCTCCCCCATAATTAACAAAACCCTAATTAACACCTCTCGCCAAACGCTTAAATTAACATCCACTTCCATCCCCTAATTAAGACAGAACTAATTAACCA